GTGAAACTGACATTTTAAAAATAAAAAGGTTACATTTTAAAAGTTAGAATGTGGTTCCTACAGAAGCATCCGGTTACTAGAACATGAATCAAAGTCTTAGAAAATGTATGAGAAAAACGTCTGAGACAATTGATGAAATAGACGACATACATTTTGACTATATGGGCGGTAGATCAAACTACCGATGCCGTTTCTCTGATTAGGTAAGTGAAGGAACTATCTAAGAAAAAGAAAAAACTCCTGCATCACATTTTTGTTGGTCTCGAAAAAGCTTTCGACTGTTCCCAGGAAATTGAAACCATGAGATCTTAGGCAATAGAGTTCCCGAAAATCTGGTGCGACTGATAATTTGTCTGTATACCGAGTCGAAAACTAGAGTTCGCCCAGAGAATGTTTTGACGAGTGTTGTTTTTATCTTAAAAAAACTTATTTTTCAATCAACTTGTTGCCTGCACTGGTAAGGGGATTTTGGAAAATTTTGCGATCTGGCTTATTTAAAATTTAAAATGATTTTTGGTTGTTGTGCACAGTTACTGCCCACATATAAAACAATAATAGCGGGTTTCTGTGCAATTAGTTAAGAATGTTTCGACCACAATGCTTGAAGCAAGGAAGTTAGAAAATCAGTACATCATTTTTTGAACTAATGTGTTTAATAGAAGTTAATTGGATTGGGTGAAAAAGTGCATACTTGGGCTCTTCCCCCACCTGTAAACTTTTATAGAAAAAAATTTTGTTCACATCATTCGATTGTAATGAAAATTGGCATACGGACCATTTAGGTCATGAAAAACATTTTTAGTCTGATAATGAACGTTTCAAAACCACTTGTTACAACATAAAATTGATGCTCATGTGAGTTGAAGGGAAGCAAAAAGAGCACAAAGTTTGGAATAGAATTTGCATAAATAGGCCGATTTTTCTCGAGAAAAAACAATTGTCTGAATTTTATTGGAACTACGACTTTTAGGGATATAATATAATGCAACACTTCAGCCCCTACAAATTTTCGTTAAGGTAGTCAAAATCTCATAGTTCCTTCTCACTTCGTAAAGTGATCGTAACCAATATAAGTTATGTTTTTATAGAACTTCCAGGGTTTTTTTTTTCCTTTATTAAACTTATCAAGAATTAAAAAGTTTGCCATTTTGTAAATCATTTTACTCCCTCATCTGCAGTTTGGTCTGGAAGCAAAAGTCGGTGAGTAATATTTCTCTTGACAGCAAACCTTATTGAAAATTTGTTTTGGAGTTGAGGCTAATGAAATAGTTTGATATAATATTGACTCGATTTCCTGCTAACTTCATTTGTGTTAGAAATTGCTAGAACTCTTTGCCTAATAGCTTTTACAACAAAACTCTGTATTATTCGGCTTACCATTGCTTTTTCCTTAAATAACTTTGTTCACAGGATCACTGAAATTGGTGGTCATATCTATCCATCTGCGCTTTCGTCAGCGAACAGACAAATTTTGAGCAAGTCTGCATTTTAAAAGGCCCTTTTATTCGAAATTTGTTTTTAATTTAACAACTCCGATTTGATTATATTATTTTTTTTTATTTTCTTTATTCGGTTTACCAAGTTTCCGTTTATAATATATCGGCTTGAGATCTTTTTTGAGTCGTTTGAGGAGGAAAAAAATATGTAAATGTTACCTGATTTGTAAATTTTTTTCTTTATATAAATGCATATTTTACTTTCAACTGTCTTCTGTTTTGGCAAATTTTCTTGAAAAGAATTATTTACAAGGCAAAATCAAGAGAAAGGTAGGAAAGTTTTGGTACAATTTTTTGTACGGCTTTTATCTTTATTTGTGTCGTTTAGTTTGGTAAGCTGTGTATCGCAAATATTTTATCGTACTTAGTGCGATACACTAATTTTGTATAGCAAATAGTGCGAAGCTTCGCTTAGCCTCTTTAATGAAAAATTAAAATTGACGGGTTTCAAATCAGACAAAACAAAACAAAATGGACGCTTTGGCTTTTTCATCTTTTTTTGCTATTTACGAATGTTTTTTTTAATAGAAATTTAACGCATTACAGGAAAGTTCATCAGGTCAGTTTCCGTCAGAATAAACTTGCTCACTCTTAAATCTGGCTTTCTAGATGTATAACTCTATTCAATTTCTTTTCGTTGATACCATTTTGAATTATTTTGCGATACGCATCTAGATTCAAATTTTTTTGAAAATTTTGCGAGTTAATATTAAACCAGGATTTAAGATATCACTTTTATAAAAGATAAAAAGTTAGAAGCGCTTCTTTTCGTATCATTATACGGAATGTTATAACAATGTTGTTCCGGCTAAAGAAAGTACGGGTAGAACTTTGTATTCGAGTCTGTTTTATTTTTGTTTCCATGCAAAATCAGGTGCAATTATTAACTAAGATATAATCGAGTGATATATTGACTTTTCCGGGCTAGCAACTTGTTTTCCCTTGACGTGTGTTCCCTTGACATGATCAATTTATTAAAACTTTGAGTTATACTACGTACGACTGGAGTACTACGTTCACATTAAATTTCAGAAGTTAAATCATTTGTTTGGGCCTTTTTGGAAAAATTCAATTGTTGGTCGATTGTGTGTTTGGTAAGTAGTTTTGACCGGCTTGGTTCACATTAAAATCAAAGTGAAGGCGTTAATCCGCGTACGCGTAAATAGCCTTTAGGTAATGTACATGCCTGCGAAGAAAAAGGTCCTTGGAATCTGGCGAGGACCTGTTTTGTAAGCGGAATATTTTCTGTGAGACAAAAATCTTGGTGGGATTTTTTTGCTGCTTATTTAATTTTTTTTCAACTAACAATGAAAATCAGTCAACGTGCAAGTAATTGCGTTCCAGGTTTTATATTTTTTCTTTGTACTCTTTTTTATAGATATATAAATTGTTTCTTAATTTTTTTGAAATTTTGATTGTTTCTGATAGCAATAATTTTTTAGACTTATTATCACTCTCATCATAACTCAATTGTGGTATTGAACAAAACTTATCAACCGGTGACTAAGCAAAAGATAGTTGAGGTCTCATTGAGCCGGAAAAAAGTAATATGATATCTGAGAATTAAAAAAATGGAACTATCTTCAGCCTTTCATCGACATGAGCGTAACGTAGTGTGAAAGTGTGATGCAACTTTTTTCCAGACAAATTTGCCTTTTCGGTGGCATTTTTGATTTCGTATGCTGCATTAGCAGTATATTTACATGTTCTCTGACCTTTGTTTAGTAAAAATTTTAAACAGTTGATGCTTTTTATTTCAGTAATTGAACCGAAAAGGTTATTTCATACAACAGTGTAATTACGATTGCGATTAGCACGCGTTATCAAATCTGAATATAGGTTTTTTTCGGGTTAACAACTTGTTTAACAGAATCACTTGGCATCTAAGTTAACAATGAATTCAAATTTCTAAGCGTCTCCTACACACTTAGCCTGGACGTAACGAATACGCCTGGGACGGCAAAGGTTCTGGGTTCGAATCTGAGCAGGACTTGTTTTTTTTTCAAACGGGAAATGTTCCCTTTCGAAAAAAATTCTCGGCTATTTAATTGTCTGCTTATGTTTTGTCGGCTTAGTTGCCACATCTTAGAGTTTGTGCTATATGCAGTTTTTATTGTGGTTGTTTTTTATGTTTTCATTTACTCCTACTCTTAGTAATTCTACTACCCTTGACTTTTCGATCTAAATCATTTTGACTGATGCTTTCGATCTAAATCATTTTGACTGATGCTTTATCGGCTTACGAACTTAAATTTTGGTAGTTTGAGGGAATTATCGTTTGCACAAAACGTTTAAAACTTCAGAATAGAATTCATAGTTCAAAGTTTTTCATGACAACCATTTTATTTTCGCTCGATAATTCTTTTTATCCTTGCGATAAGCAAGGGTTTTGCAATCGGGTAATAGACTTTTCCCGTAAATAATTTTGTCCACAGAATGGTCAAGTGGTAACAAGTGAATAAGTCTTCCCTAATAATTTAAGAAAAATTAAACATAAAAAACTGTCAAAGTTTTCGGCTTTCTAGTTCGTTTATTTTTGGGCGAAACTTTTGTTATTTTGTTTGCGCGACCTACTGTAAATATTACGCGTGCCACTAGCAAGTTCTTCTACGCTTAATGTAAACAAGGTTATTAGTTTGCTTGCCTAACAAAACTTTCGGATAGGGAAAAATTGAAATAGACAAGTTTTTTTGCCAGCATTTTTTTTGGATGATTGTTTGGTTATTAGTTTGCTTAGACTTAGTTCCTAGCAACTTTTTGTCTTTGTTCCTTGCTATAGCTGAAAGTTTTTTATGCCAATTGATTCAAATCAATGGCATATCTTTATTTTATGACCATAATTTCCGTTTTTTTTAAATCCCATATTTATATTCTTTTTGACCATTTTCCCGGTTTTGCCATCCAATGCTGGCCGATGTGTTCCGCCATAGGTTTTTCTTTTAAAATGACTTTCATTTGAGACAAACATATGAAATTTTGAGTGTTTGTTTTTTCCGTTTCTTTTTCAAGATTTGGTGGCTTTCTGTATCGCAAGTGGTGGTGCGAAGCTCAGCTTCGCCTGTGTATATATATGCCTGTAATACGGCGTAAAAATTGTTCCATTTTTTTTCATTTTTCACAAATGTTCCATTCGCCTGGCCTGAATTTGCCAAGCGAAATTTTATGAATTATAAGGGATACACAATGGTATATCGATTTTTTGATTTATTTTGTATTATTTTGATTTTTTGAATAAAATGAAATGTAGTTTGTACCGTTATTTTTTACGCTGTAATTTTTAAGCACATAGTTTTGTTCTGGAAATGGCGCGAGCCTCCGCTTCGCCTCTGTGTAAAAATTATCCAAGAAGTATTCTCAGTGTTGAGAAAAACTGGTTTGAAGTTAGCTTTTTTAGAGGAAGTAATGTGATTCTTTAGACGAAATTGCTTGATAAAATTGCTTAATTGTCATTCTTTTACATACAAAGCGATCAATAATTTAGATGTTTTTTGTCATATGTTGCAGTGCATCTCTGAGTGGAAAACTTCCGCAGGTAAATTACAAGGAGCTCCTCGACAACCCAGATCTGTTCTATTCCTCTCTACTGGGAGGCGACAAAGAACTATGTGTTCATGTGCAGTGTCAGCTGTTCGATTCCAAAGGGTACCCGTTGAGTCTTCCAGCTCACACGCCGTACAAGCCATTCTCATCTACGAAGGACTTTGTGTGAGTTTTTATGGATAGTTTGTGAACACGATTCTTTTATGTCAAGTATGTTACAATGGTTATGTTTAAGTAATGGTTGTTTGGAAAACTTATTCTTATATTCGAGAAGAAAAGTTGAAATTAGTTTTTTTAATACAGAGAAGAAATAGTGAACAACGTTTTCCTAATATATTGATTTTTTCCGAAATTAAAAAAAAAAAGTTATGCAATTTATTTTAAATACAATCCAGCCCGGTGTTGAATAAAAATCCTGTTCAATTATTATATGTTACATAATTAAAAAACGTTGTAAACTTTGTAAAAATGCTGCATTTGTTTCCACTTTTAGTTGGAATTCGTGGCTGAAGCTGCCCATCCGCTACTGCGACCTACCGGATGATACCCGCGTGCACTTCTCCATCCTGGATGTGGGTGGAAAAAATGATCCCGGGGGCAAGAAGCTGATCGGAACTGCATCTACTAAACTGTTTCGAAAGACGGGGTACGTTTTGAGTTTATTATCGAACTTTTCTTTGTATATTTACTATCATCGAGCGGTTCTTTTCCTTGAATTTTGGTAGTGGTCAAATTTCGCGAATCATCTTTCTTGCGAAATTTTGTGGTACCGGTACAAACTTTGTTTTGACTTGAGCTGATTGTTAAACCAGAATCTTATTTTCAATTTCTAGAGTATCTTGGAAATGATGTTCTGTGTTAATGTCTGTGTTAATCCTAAACATGTAGAATACAGAACACAACCTGGTGGTAACTTGATCAGATTTAATTTGTGAAATTGTTTTTTTTTCTTTTTTTTTTGGTAAGTCATACCAAATATAATAAATACATATGGTTGCCGTGAATTGTTTGATATAAGGAAAGTTATATGCCAGCTCCTGACGCATTCATTTTAATTTTAGTCTAATCTCTTTGATAGTTATGCTTGGCTTACACTTTGATCAGGAATATTGCTAAATATTTGTAATTTTCCTAATTTGGGCCTTGCTGCTAACTTTCGAGAATCTTCAAAATGGTCCATGATTGTTGAATATATTTAAAATGGGCGTTTCTTTTCATTGCATCAGATGTCTGAAGACCGGAGCTTACGACCTGCAGGTTGAGATTGCGGGCAAAGGGGAAAAGGTCAAATCAGAGGTCAAATCAGATGAAACTGACAAGAGTAACAACAAGAATGAGCCATCAGACAGCACCGACACTAATCCAGATGATGATCTTAATGTACAGTACCCGGATCCCATCCACGTGCGAAAGGTAATTGATTGGAACAGAATTCCAAACATCGCAATTCAAGTTGCGAATGATAAAACTATATGAAGGTTTAGGTTTAGAAGAGTCCTCGATCCTTGGAGTTGTTTTTTAGTTTGTATGATTTTATGCGGTATATTTACACTTACCACAGCTTAGTGTATTATTAAGAACCTTCGTTTTTTTCTAACCTAAATCGCAAATTTTGCCTTTTCGGGCATCTCTACAGCTTTTTGATAGCATGTGCTTTGACATTCGAATAGTAATAAGTTAACACAGTTGATGCATTTTTAATTCATCAAATGAACTGAAAAAAGCTATTTGTTCAAACAACATAACAATTATAATAATTCGATTTCACAATTTTTCGAACTCAGTATATCTCGCAATTTTTTGAAATGCATAATTTATACATAATGTGGCTTTATGCTTTGCGGTTTGTTACATGCAAAGTTAGTTTAGATGCCTTCTGTTTGTTATACTCCAAACTATTACTTGCAAAAATGCGTTTATTTGTGGTTGGGGCCACTTTTGCTGAATGGCATTGGCCATTTTTTAGCATATGTAGCTGCTTTATTCGTGACTAGTGTTTGGCGGTGGTTAAGCGTGCGTGGCTGAGTGGCTAGTGCATGAGAGTAAAATTTTCTTGATTGCAGGTCGCAGATCGACTCCTATTTCGCTAATTCTATTTTTCGACTATTCTTTCTTAAAGCACTTTCTAGAGCAGATTTTTGTCGTGTTCTCGCTAGTGTTTGCGAATGTAGACTTTTTTCGGGTTGCTGAACAACTTGCTTAACAAAGTTATATCACTTGGTATCTTAGTTCATAATGAATTCAATTTTCTAAGCGTCTCCGGCACACTTAGCCTGGAGGTAACAAATACGCCTGGGACGTTAAAGGTTCTGGGTTCGAATCTGACCAGGACCTGTTTTTTTTCCAACGGGAAATATTCCGTTTCAAAAAATTGTCGTCTTATGATTTGTCTGCTTATGTTTTTTCGGCTTAGTTACCACATCTTAGAACTTTTTTGCCGCATGCAGTTTTCGTTGTAGTTGGCTTTCTATGTTTTAATTTAGTCCTGCAATTTGTATTTCTACTAATAATGGCTTCGTATATTTTCCTTTTCTGTAATTTCCAATGTAGTTGCTTTTAGTGTTTTGAATTACTGCTGCAGTTTTTAATTTTACTAGCCTTGACTTCGTATATTTTGCTGTTTTTTTTCGCTACAAAAATTTTAGGCCGAAAGGATTTCGTCTTATATTTAATTGACTTAATAACCTTATTTCGGGTTGCGAGGGAACTAAAATACGTACCCGTTCCTCCGGGTTACACAAAACGTCAAAAATAATTGCAGTCATTTTTTTTTAAATTGTGGTTTCTTCGAAATTTTTTCCGTTTTCTTTGGACTTAGTGGATCTCCTGTCTGCTAGCTTGCAATGCTATATTTGTGGTATTGCAAGTGATGCAAAGATACGCTTCGACTCTGTGTTTGCTTTTGAGTTGATTTTTAATGCATGAATGTTTTTTTTTCTATTTTGTTCCGACCACTGAAAATTATTCGGTTGTGTTGTAATTTTTTACCCTTGCGATAAGCAAGTATATTACATTCGGGTTCTAGACTTTTTTCTCGTAAACAATTTTGTCCACAGGATGACTAAAATTTGGTCAGCTCCAAATGTATCTCTATTCCTACTCAAAATGCACGTATAACTGCTTTAATTCAAAAGCTAGCTTCAAGTGATAATTGTTTTACAGCTGAAAAAGACTTTCAGATATAAGTTGATTTTTTTGTCGGCTTTATTGATTTCGACCCAATTTTTTTTGGCTTACTTGCCGGTTTATCAATTCTGTAAGTTTTTGGCAAATAGGTTTTCTGGCGCCAAAATTTTCTCTTGGAAATAAAACGTTTTTGGATTTTTCTCCTAGAATTTTTTTGCAAATAATTTTTAGTTTTTTTTTGGATGCATGGTTTCTGTTTTTTTTTTCTTCTAAAAGTGCGTGAAACAAGTTTTAGTTTTAATTAGTTTGGTGTGTTTTAGGTTTGAGCAATTTTTCTTAAAATCGATTGAAGTTGATGGTTTCACGTATTGTTTCAATTTTTCAAAAAGAAAATTTCAAAAAAATTGATAAATTTCCAGATTTTTTTGCAAATTTGACTCGACTTTTTTTGTCTACGAAGGAATGTGGCAGAATGTAAGCTGCATTCTGAAATGATTGTCATTTTTATCTTGACTTGTTGTGGAATTTTCAGTTTTTTTTTTCTGTTTATCTATATCCGCTCCACTTTCTGTGAGCACATTATTGCCCGTTTATGTGTCTAATTATTAGTTCTTCGCAATCAATAGTGCCAATACAATAATATGCGCCTGTTTACTTTTCAAATTGTTGTTTTCAACTCTCGTCTTCGGGTCTCATCATTTTTATTTTGCCAGGTTTTTAAAGTAGTTCAGTTGAATTATTCAGTAGCATGTTCTTGATTTTAGTCTCTGAAGAAATTTGGTCGAGACGAGCTGGAAAAATCTAATGACTTCCTGGACCGATTTGCATTTGCTGAAGCTAACAAATTCATTCACGCCGAGAACAGAAAAAATGAGTCACTCTACCTCTACGTACAGTTTCCCAAGTTCAGTCATCCACAGCTCAAGAGCATCAACATCGAAGTAAAGTACTGCGAACTTCTAGAGGTCAGTTCAATTAGCCCAATTAGTTGGTAGGAGTCTTTTCCGGAGGATGTGCGGCAACCAGCCTTATCTACAAATCTTGCAACCGAAAAAACATCAGAATAACGTAACAATTGCATAACAACAGTGACAATCTGTTGTTATGTTGCGTAATAAGATTGATGTTCGGCTTGTTAGCCTGTCACCTCTTTTTCAGACTAAAACCTCCTCGTAACTCCTTGTAAAATTAAACAAATCAAGCTTTCTCAAAATTGTTCATACGGCAGTTTGCTTGTTGCAAAAAATTGGAAGCTCAACAATAATCTTTTGTCACTGTCACATGTTTTGGTTTTAATTTGTATCAGTAAAGCTCATTGAAAAAAATGCATTCTGAAATTTTTTTTTAGCAAAAATGAAAAGGGGAGGCTTTACAAAAACAGAATGAAAATCACAGTTCAACTGCAATATATTCTTTTTGACAGATGAATCATCATTTTAATTGTTCCGACTTTCGAAGAAAACGGAATATTTATGCTCGGTGTGGTTTTTTTATTCAGTCAATTTTCGCTGATCGAAATAATAGTTTTCAAAAAAAAAAATTTAGACCCCATTGAAGATATCGACTTCGTGAGTTCAAATATCAAAAGATTTTCTACCTCTGATTATTTTTGTAAAGTTCTGGGGGTTTGATTTTTTGGCTATGTTCTGGACTAAATTATGCGCGCTTTGAAGAGTTTATTCATAATGCTCAGAGTGTCACGCGATTATTTATGTGTGGCGAATTATCCCGCATAATAAAATTGTTCTAAATAGAATTGAGGCTAGCTAAGTGGTCGTATTAATTTCGTACGACTCAAAATTTCACACTTTGATGATATTGTTCAAAATTTAAAGGTTTTCAATATTTTTTAGTTTCTAAAAATTATTCAATATCAATTAAGGGACAGTCGGAACATTCAGTGCTTTGCCCTGATATACGAGCAGTCTTGTTTTTTTTTTGTAAATTCAATTCAAATTCATTTGCCAAAAGGAAGGCAAATTACGATTCCGAATAAGACGTGCAAACTGCGCGAACAAATGCGCATGACTTGAAGTTTCAAAAGTAGATATTAGTTTTCAGGAATCCCAGCGCAATTTTCTAGTCCAGTTTTCTAAACTTGGTTTAGTTTCATTTAAAAAAAATCAATCAAATGCAATTCATGAACTTCAAAAAGGTGTAAGATTGTAAAAAAAAAAGTGACAAGGTGACATGAAGCGTAGTAAAGCATATTGTTATATGTAGTTATGTTGTTTATGTCGTCTTTTTCTACAAGGATAAATTTCCAACCATTGACAAATTAAAAGCATCTGTGGCAGTTTTATTGTGGCTAGTGTTAGTAAAGTCCCAAGCGACTCTTGTGCAGATGCTAGGATTTGAGAATCCTATGCAGTAGGTCGGACGGTCTATTCCGGCTAAAAGAAATAATTTTACTTTCATTTGGTAGCACTTGCTGCATAGTTATTGGCAATTCAATATCAATTCTAGCTGCATTGTTGGTAGCTAGGTGAGCAAATCTTGAAGTGATCGTGGCGCTGATACGGTAACATGAGTCGCCTATTCTCCAAGACGGAGTCTCGATTCCAGTAATTAGTGAAAGTTTTATTTCTTAAGGCTTATTTCTATTTTTCATTTCTTTGCTCCATTTTTTTTTGCTCTTTAGAGATAATTTCGCCGTTATCTATCTTGCGTTTATGAAGTGTAGCTTTGCCGTTATCTATCTTGCGTTTATGATGTGTAGCTTGTGTTAAAATTGAATCAAAGTTGACATTTTCGTGTTTAGAACTGCTATGACATGAACAACCAGCAGAATGAAGTAAACGAAGTCAGAGGTAGGGTGTTTGACCCCGACCTTGACAAGGTGAGAACTGAATTAACTATTAAGCTAAATGTATTGGATGAGCTTAACCCCCTACTAGCAAAAAAGTTTTGGCTGCGACACATTGCGATTTGACTATCATGGGGGGGGGGCTATATTTTGTTTGGGAGGGGGTATAATGGGAAGAGCTTGTATTTGCAGATATAGATATAGCTCAAAGTGTAGGCTGGAATTGAAATCGAGGATTACCATATGAAATACGTGGGTATAAAATATTACATACATGAATGATCTTTCCAGTTTGCACTGTCTTAAAAACGATGTGTTGTTTGTTTATCTGTTCAGCGTCGTTCCATTTCAGTCTAACCTGATAGAAGATAAACACAGGCGGTTGATGATCGGAGGTAGGAGGGGTCACCACGCCGACCTCAAACCGGACGCTCCCACCAGGAACAGACTATATGTTAGTCAGTCAGTAGCGGATATATATATATATATATATATATATATATATATATATATATATATATTTACCTTTTAAGATTATTTTGGTAGAGTTTGGACTTACCAGCTCGATAATCATTATGAACTGAACATATTTGGTCTTAATTATATCGTCAAAACTTATTTGAAGGTCAAAATTGGTCTGAAAAAAAAGCAAACACGAGTATGTCAGCACCGTTAGTCTTTCTTTCGTTTTGTGGACTTATGGTTTACCGTTGAGTGTCTATTTCTACTTAAAAAAGTGTTTCTCAGGAACTATCAATTAATTGTAATTATCAGCAGTCCCTCCAAAGCTATTTTATCCAGAAAGTGTCCTAGTGGTTGATAATCAAATAAAAACAACACTTTGGGCTACAAGCTCAAACTAGTCAAGAATACTTTCTCATCTTTTTCAGATATACTTTTGCGACCGGTAGCGTGCCGAGGGGGAATGGGGGGTTGAGGTTTTGGCGACCCCCACCCCTCACTCAATTCTGGCTTTCAGATTTTTCCAAAGGGTTCCCCCTTTGGTATAATTTAACAACATCCGTTTTTGGCTGACCAGCCTCAAAATTTTTCTAAAGACGCCTTTGGCGCCAATCTAACTAATTTTGAGTGGTAGCGCGCGCCGAAAAAACTTTTTTTTGTCAAAATTTTCCAAAAAGTGCCCAAAAACAACGTTTTTTGGCCTGTTTTTTGAAAAATTTGCCAAGGATCCTATTTCAGTATTTTTGGAGAGCTCAGAAAATCAAATTGGTCGACCTCAAAAAAGTTCCGTAAATTTCTCTAAATTTTTTGAAAACCGCCCCCTCCCCCTAGAAAAATTTCTGCGGACTCAACTGTATGCGAAATTTCATTTTTTTGAGTAGCTGTGTGTAATAAGTTATCTCTTGTGTGTTTCAGGAGGTGTTGTGTAAACCATTGACAGAAAGATTGACAGAAGATGAGCGCAACTTAGTCTGGCAGTACAGATATTCTCTCGCGTCTTATCCCAATGTAAATTTCTCAAAGAGTACATGGACGCAATAGCTTAACTTTTTGCCGATCGCAACGTGTAAGAACGCTTGGAGCGCAACAATTAAGCAATGACTATCAGCTAAGCTTAACATTTATGTTCTCATGCTAAAAAAAACTCAACGCTTCAGACCAAATCAACTTGAATCAACTACAAGTCTAGCTAACTAAATCGAGCTAACTAAAACAACAGATTTATCTCTTTTGTCATAAAAACAGCCAAAACTTGGCTTGAGAGCTGCCCAATTTTTTCAAAGTAAGCTGATTGAATCAGATTGCGACCTTTTGAGTTATTTTTCGCGAATAGATTCAAGCGGTGAAAAGGAAAACAACTTACTTTATTTACTTTAAACTTTTATTCCTATATAGTTTCTTTGAAAAATGAGTTTTATGCGAATCTATTTTAAGTAAGAAAATAATGTGAAATAAGTCGTGAAATAAGTTTTTTTGCTTATTAGTTTGCTTGAAAAAAAATTCTTTTTGCGCGTAGATTCAAGCTTTGAAAGCCATTTGAAATATTTCTTAGTTTTTTTTTCCTCTGTACCTTTTTTGAAAACAAAACGATCTTCTACAAGTCGATTCGAGCTATGAAAAACAACTTGGAATAATTCCAAAGTTTTACTGCTCAACAGCTTGCTTAAAAACTTCAGCTTTGCGTAGATTGATTCAGGTCATTACAGTTGCGAGCTTGCAGGCGTAATGTATTAGTACGAACCTTTTTTTTTCTGACCTAACCCGCAAACAAAGTGTTCATTAAAACTGTACACTTATTTGATGGCAATTTTGCTATTATCATGATTTATAGCATTGCAATTTTCATAGCATCTGTTATCTGCTTTATTTGTAGCTAATGTTGTGGTTTATTAAGCGTTGGTGGCGGAGTGGTTAGTGCGTGGGACTCATAATCTCCAGGTTGGAGATCGAATCCGAGAAGTAGACGATTTTCTGTTATATCAAAGCTTACTTCTACTCTTCTATTGCACTTTATAGGGCTACTTTTTGTCGTGTACTCGCTTGTGTCTGCGAAGCGCAACTTCGCACCTGTGTTAGAACATCTTGAAGTTCTTCCGGTCGGGTGCCAAATTTTCTCTTAACCTTTCACAAAAGCTATATAGAGACTTAAAACTTCGAAATAAAGCCAAAGTCATTTTATGCTCTCGGATGTCTGTGTTTTAAAGGCTCCGAGAAATTGATACCTGGAAAAATTTAATGTATCATGCTCTCCTGTTGCGTGTTTCATTTCGTTTCAACACAGTATTTTGGGAATAAAAACATTGAAGCAGTTTATTAGCCGTTATATCATATCGCTTGTATTCATTTTTAACTCAGCTTTAAAGAAAGCTCTCATTTTGAAAATTTGGAATCAAATCAAAAGGCATACGATCCTATTGAGAAATTTTTTCTTTGACTTCTACAAAATGTTGAATTAACAATACCGCAAGCTATGTTCTCGGGCGTCTTTTCTCATTAGATTTAGCAAAGGTTTTTAGGACTTGAAACTTCGAATTAATTCGATTTTTGCTCCACCCTATTATTTTTTTTCAATGCATCTTTTAAAAGGACGTTGTGACTTGAAATTTTAATTATTTAAACTCTATCGCGTGCTTTTGCCTTTCAGATTTGACGATGACTCTTATTATTTAAACCTAGAAAAAAAATCATTTGTCCTGCATTGTTTTGCGTGTTTTTTTCTCATGTTAGGCTTAGGAGGGGCTCTGAAGACTACAACTTCGAAGTTTTTCATTTGTCATGTTATCATAAAGAAAGTCTCTTCAACGCTTTTCACTTCAGTTTTTTCGAAAGCTCTTAGGTCGTCAACTTTTGAAAAGAAACTCTATTCGTGCTTTTTCATTGTTTGATTTTTTACCCTTGCGACAAGCAAGGGTGTTGCAACGGGGTATCAGACTTTTTTATTCCTCAACATTTTGTTCACGATATTTCCCCTTGCTTTCCTCTTCAAAGCGTATTATGTTGAAGAACTATCCGGTCAATCTTAAAAAAGCTCTGGGGAAGAACCAGAAAATTATAGATCTATTTCAATCTTGGGGGCAATGTCAAAAGTTTGTTAAAAACTTGTAATATAAGCAAATGAACGAGTACCACCTGAAGAATGATCGTATAAGTAAAGCACAATTTGGTCTCTGAGTATCATATTCAACCTTAGAAAAGCTATAATACTGTACTGAATCATTTCGAAAATCAATTGATAATAACAAAACTGTTGCTCATTGGAATAACTCATTGGCAATTTTACTCATTGGAATAACAAATAATTTAATCATTTTTTATGAAAAACAATTCAGTACAAAAAAGATAATAAATTCTTTATTTTAAATTTGTTTATTATGCTTATCACTGGTCACCGCAACTTGGCGACTGAACGAAATAATTTTTTAAAACTTTTTCTTTCCACAAAAAAAATTCATTTGTACAAAAAATAATAATAAATGCTTTATTTTAAATTTGTTTAGTATGCTTATCACTGGTCACCGCAATTTGGCGACTGAAAGAAATACTTTTTTTGAATCTTTTTATTCGCAGGAAAACTTTTTTGACGCAAAATTTTCAATATCCCAAATATCTCGAGATATTTAATCTTCAATGAACTAAAATTTGTTTTCAAAAAGTAAGTTTATTAAATAAAAAGAACGTTATCGTCAAAATTTGTATTTAAACTATTGAATTTATGAAATAAAATGAAGAAAGTTTCATTTTCAATTGAAAATACAAATATTAGAAAATTAGTAATTTTGTAGATATGACCATAAAATTTAAAAAGGAACTTCATAGTTGATTTTTTTATTCTTTCAATTTATGAAAAAAAACATTGCTGGATGTCCACGTCTACTCTTGCGGTTGCTCTTAGTTTTTTCTTATGTTTCTATGCAAACATTTTCATCAATCAGTTTGAAGCACCGGAGTAGTTTTTTTAGGGGCACAAATCGGAGCACCAATCGCGACGTAGTTTTTTTAGGTCAACAACTTGTGTGCAAGCTCAATCAGATGAATCATTTGATAGCTTTGCTTAAAACCCTTCAAAGTTTTTTAGTTTTTCTGGCACACCTGTTCTAGAGTTAACGGCTACGACTGGCACGGCGAAGGTCTTAGGTTTGAATCTTGTCAGTACCTATTGCTTCAAACAATAAGTATTCCGCTTCCAAAAAAAAATCGAAGGCTTATTGTTCCGACCATTTGAAAAATGGGGAGGAACTTTGTGTTCTGGTGGTTTTTTTGTGTGTTCCTTTTAAAACCATTGACCAATAATAATCATCAGAGTGAGTTGTGTGATATATCGAACGACATCAAAAAAATTCCCAACAGTTTTCCGAGTGTTCAGAAAAACCTGCTGGAATTTTTTGATTTTTTGTTCATTTTAGAGCCAGTACAGCGAGCGAGCAGACTTACAATAGCTTATTCTAATTGCTTACAAGTCTCCAATGGCTCCATTTAAGCGGTAGAAACTTCAAAAGCCTGCAACAAAAAAAAACAAATTGAAAAAGTTTTTCAATTTTTTAAATCATTTTTTTGTTTCTCGTCATTTTCTACAAAAGTTGTTTTCCAAATTGCTTATTTTACTATGACTGTCGATTTTTCCGATGATCTAAGTTTTCGTTCATATCCTTTTATCACACCACGCAGAAAAAAAGGACACTAATTAAATAAACTTTTTTGCTGTATTTTCTTAAGACTATGGTCGGAAGATTTTGTGCTACTTGCTTAGTAACCGGCTATACTTGATTTGCCTGCTAATGTATTGTCGTTTTAATCGCAGCGTCGCGCATTTTTCTGGTGGAGTGAGCAAATTTCATTGTTAATTAATAAGGTTTTAATTTTCTCCTGTAATTTGTCATTTAACTGATTTCTTTTGTAATTTCCTTTTTTTAATTAAAAGCTTTGTTTGGCATCAATTGTTTCAACTGATGTTTTATCGACTTAGTGAGCTAATTTTTTTCTAGGATAAAAAAGATTATTATCTTGGTGTTTCCGGAGGGGGAGCGTAAAATTTAAGAATTTCAGAATTTTCAACAAAAGTTTTTCATGAGATCTATTTTTTTTCGGCTCAGAGGGAGGTTACCCAACTTTTGTCAGCCTATTTGCCGGTTGGTTTTCTTAAAATTGCTCTCAAATTGTACATCATTCCAAAGAAAATTTATAAGTTTTTGTAGTTGTGGTTTTTTTTTTTTTTAAAAAAGTGGTTTAGTGGCTTCCATTCAATTTTCTGTCCGCTAGCTTTCGATCCTTTGTTTGTGTGCTATCGCAATTGATATGGGGCTGAGTTTTGCATTTTCGTTTTTCATTTTTCCAAAATTAATTGGGCGAAGTCTTCAAAATAATTTGAGTATTTTTTAGAGAAGCTACTTAGCTGTGAAAATTCACAAAATTATGATTTGTGTCGAAAAAATGTCCCCGTCTCCGAAGTAGCGCTCCTAATGTAATGATGGTCTCGGCATCCATCAGTTTAACATGAAATACAATCCTATCGCGTTCAGGCACTAGTGAAATTCCTCCGATCAGTGGAGTGGGACAACTCGGAGGAGCGAACAGAGGCTGTGAAGATGATGCAGAACACCTGGGCAGTTCCGAGAGTCCAGGACGTCCTCGAACTCCTCTCGGAAGACTTCTCCTCTTCTCTGAAGCTCCCCTGTAGACAGTTTGCAGTGAAGCAGTTGTACAGCCTGCCAGAGGGGGATCTGAGACTGTTTCTGCTGCAGATTGTCCAGGCACTCAGATTTGAAGACAGTGAGGCTATAGAGAGGAAGAAGAAGTTGGCTACTATCACAATCGGACTGGAGAGGTTAGTTTTTTTTTCCAATTAAAACGTGAAAGCAGGTCTTTTGAAAAAATATATTACAGTAGAACGTGGTAATAAAGTTATTTTTAGTCATTAATCAGACTCGCAGAATAAATTGTGGGAAAGTTTCTTTGATGCCGGTCTCGAAAGGAAAACGTGGGATATAGAAGTGACGGGCAAACATAGCCTCTATAAAACACTTGACTCATTAGAAAGTTTCTCAAATATACCAGTTTTTTTTTTCAAAAACATTTTTGTTAAAGTTTTGCGTGTTTGGGAAATTAGCGATTAACAGAATTTATTCAAATTTTACTGATTCTTTCCAGATCTCTGGAGTCTGAGCGAGAGCGTTCCAACTCATCAGGAGAGAATGGCGCTGACATGAACATGTATGCGAGACAGGAGAGGGAGAGTTTGGAGAGGGAAGATCGAGGCAGAGCAGATCTTGCCGAGTTCCTCGTAATCTCTGCTTCCAAGAACCTCAGCGTAGCACTGGACCTCAATTGGTGAGCAGTTTTTTTGTAGTTGTAATTTTCTAGAGACATTCTTATAATTAAACTCTGGGTAGATTTAAGAGACATTTTCCCTATTTTATGACATTATTGTGTAGCCAAAGAAGACTTAATTTGTTCTAACGGCGCCTCTGGGGTCCATATACGTAAAAGTTGGGGAAGGGGGGGGGGGTAGGGTGGAGCGCGCGTTAAAATCTTTCAGGAAGTCTCCAAAAATAGCGTTCTTGACTCAAAAATTGCAAGTGGCGTCAAAACTTTTGGTCAAACAGTCTTTTTTGGCAAAGCTCGGAACGTCAAATTTTTTGCTTTCCTTAAACTCCGCTCGCCTGATCGCAAAATTCAACATTCATTTTGATCATACTTTTGATGGAGCCATACCGAAGCATATCATGTAACATTGTGAATTGTTGTCGGTCAAAGGTTTTTCCAAACTGTGAGCTCTAAATGAAATGATTGGAAGGTTCTTTGCAATTGCTATACATTCCTTATCGATACAAAGACGCAGTTTAGAATGATTTTTTAACCTGTCCAGTGGCGTGTGCAAAAATTTTCAACTTAATTTCTGCGCCAATTTTGTCATTCATTTTCTGTGCCCCAGCCAATTTTTTTGAAAAAAAAACAGGCTAAAATGACGTTTTAAGCACTATTCCAAGAAAACGGTTAAAAAATTGCAATTTATCAGCGCGCCGGCTTCCTCAAGTTTTGTTATATTGGCGCTTAAAGAAAATTATTCAAAAATGGGTTCGTGAAGTTATACCAAAGAGTACCCTTTGGAAAAGTTAAAATTTTGCCAACAGACATGAGGATGGTGGGGGTTGCATTTTCTTAGTAGATCCCGTCCCATCTCCCTCCATAATATCATGGGCCCCTTGCTCACGTGGGGGAGGGTGATGTCATCCATTTTGCCGCAGCTGGTCCCTTCTTGAGGAGGCGGATGACACTGGGACCCCTCCAACCGTGACGGAACCGGGGGTCGAACCCAAGACCTGTATGTTGAAGGCCGCGCGTCTAACCAAATCAGCCATTTCTGCTCGTCAGCCACGCCCCTCCCCCTCCCTTGGCGCATACTGGCCCTGTCAGTTGCAGAGCATACTGTTTGACATTTTTTTTCGAAAGTAATCGCTGTTCTTGTATGATATTTAACTTTTTCATTTAGTGATTCATAAATTCTCAGGCTAAAAAAACATGCTAAAACATAACTGTTAAAAAAGAATATTTTTTAACGTCAGCTAATTTAATTTCTATGTGCAAGTCACCAAATATGCTAGAAGGCGAAGAAAATTTTATTTATCCAATTTCATGTAGATACAAACAACAATAATCAATTTGTTTCCAGCTAGTTACAAACAATTGATATCGAACCATTCAATTTAGTACATGAAATTGGAAAGGAAAGACGAAAGCCGCATTGTGCACCTACTTAAGGTCTACCCTCTATTCAAAGAAATAGAGTTAATATTAGAAAAAAAATCATAACGAAAAAAAAAGAAAAAAATATTTTTGTAAAAGCGGTTCTTTTGAATCTTTTTGTTGATCTAGCTTAACTCGAGTTAATATTAGAAAAAAATCATAACGAAAAAAAGGAAAACAAAATATTTTTTTAAAAGCGGTTCTTTTGAATCTTTTTGTTGATTTAGCTTAACTCGGTAGCATACACGCAGGCCAGGTTGTTATCGATAATTTTATACGGTGTCTCAATAATCTCAATAATTAATGGATAAACAAAAAGGAGAAAAAAAACCGAAAAATCGAATTTTTCCATTTTGTTTTTGAAAATACGAATTATAATAAAAGTAGGAAAGGAATAGAAATAAGGGTTACAAAATTGCGGTTAGACGAGCTCATTTATTTTAATGATAAGCTGGTCTTATGCGTTAAGTTTTTTTTTTTTTTTTGAACAGTGAACAGAGTTTTTTTTTTTTTGGATGAAAAAATACGATATCTGAAAAATTACCGTGATTATCCGTTAGCGTTTACATACTGGGTAAAAAAAAATTGAATACAATGAATATCTTCTGAAATACATGCTGTACCAATTCGTCATTTCCGAGTATAAAATTATTTTAGAATATATGAACGAAAACATTTTCTTCACTTTCTGACATTTTTCCAATATTCTCCGGCGACAAATCAATATCTTCAGTAGTTTCCTTCCTCTATTAGTTAAAGAACAAAATTTCATTTCATTTTTACAGAATGGCGGTACGAATGTTCTATGTTTTGAAATTCTTGTTTTATATGCAAAACTTTTACAGAAAGCCGAAATTTCAGAAGCTTTGTGGAAGGTCTTTGTTTCAACGATCTGAAACTAAATTATAACAAACCGTACACATAAATATAATTCGTGCACTGTTAGTGTTTTGTTGTCAATAAAAGATTGTAAGTGATTCATATTTCCTTTTGAAATAAATCATGCAAACAATTTTTCGCAGTTTGTACATAGCACAAGATCGCAGTTTGTACATAGTATCTCTTTTTTGAAATTATACCGCAATGCCTCCCTCATTTCGATTTTACTATCTGAATTCGTTGAAAAACTTTAAGTTAGCATCTACAAGGACACCAGGGTATTTACAAGACAGTTCAACTTAATGATAGTTATCAAGAATGTTGACACAAAGATTAGAAGCACTTCTTTTTTTTAAACTTGTTAAGGTAGTTTCATCTGAGTTTTAAGTTAACTCATTTTGGCAAAGTCAGGATGAAATATTTGTCAATTCTAATTGAAAGTCCTCGAAATTTGAGGTATCGCACGATATATTTGTATCGCCGGCGAAAAGAAACACATTTGAATTTGCAACTGCATGATGCATATCATTTATAAACACCAGAAAAAGAAGAGGGCCTAAAACAGAGCCTTGAGGCACACTTATAGTAATTGGTAGCCAATAGGAGAAACAGTTACTCACATTTACACATTGAGATCTGTTAGACAAGTAACTTTTAAACCATCTGTAACAACTTCCACGTACTCAATAGCACTCGAGCTTCCTCGACAGAATTGAGTGACCAAGTGTATCAAAAGCCTTTTTTTTTTAATCAACTAAAAAAACTACATTTCATGTTTGTATCGACTCCTAAGCTGATTCCTTCCGTTACTTCTGCTAATGCATCGACCGTTGCAAGCTTCTCTCGAAAACCAAGTTGACGATGATACAAAATTTCAAATTTTTCAAGTAATTGGACAAGCGAGAGCGCATAATTTTTTTCAATAATTTTACTGCAGCTACTCAACAGTAATATTGGGCGAGAATTACTTACTTCAATTCTGTTATGAGCTTTAAAAAGCCGTAGAACTTTGTTTATTTGAATAGCAAATGAAAGCGAAAATTCCAGCAGCAAATGAAAGATTTGTCAAGTGTGTTAAATAAGGTGCTATCACAAAACGGCTTCTTAAGAGAAAAAAGTTTTAAATTTCATCAATCCTATAAGTTTGTTTGGATTTTAAGCTAGTTATATCATTGATTACCTCATAAAATGAGCAGTTGAATAGATGCATTGATTGACTTGCTATATCAATTTGATACACTGGATTAACAACTTCCACATTATTTTTTTTCTCAGCCAATTTAGTGCCAACAGTTGAAAAATACTCAATAAAAGCGTTAGCTATTGATGGAGAGTCAGACAAATTCATCTAACTTGAGTAATGTGACTTTAAAGTCTTTAGGCCTTTTAACTTTAATTTCATTTAAAACGTTATCCACCTGTCTCGAGTCTCCAATACAATTATTAAAGTTAGGGTAATAAAAGTTTTTTTGGCCTGTCCGATATTTTTTCTATTTTCCGACGTTCATCAAGGAATTTTTTTTCGTCTATTTTTCTCTGTTCTTATTTACTTAATTTGTTTAGTTCATTTCTTTTTAAGATTGAACTTTTCAAGCTTTTTTATATTCTTGTTTTAGGGCACCCTTCCTGTATGGAAGCAAGCACGTTCAAAGATTTCTGAAGGCATTGATTAAATTTATGGTAGGCAGTGTTAATGTTTACATCATTGATTAGGTTGGAAAACTCCATGTTTTGTTTAAGAACATGCAGGAAATCCCTAATTTCCTTTTCTTTTGTAAACAAAGACATATCACGATAACAATAACCCGATGAATCATTTTACTGAAAAAAGTTTAAGATTACCGGATAGTGGTCGGAAAAGCATTCATTTTCCATCACTTCAATGGTAAGACTTTCCAAGTTTCGTGTTATAAAGTGATCTTTACATGTTTAGGAATCACAATTTCGAGTTGCAGACTTATTGAATAGTTCAAAGCCGTTGGCTGTTATTGAATCTAGGTAAGATTGCTGTAAATTATCGATTTTGAAATCTCCAGCTAAGATTGTTGGTAAATTAAATCGAGATTTTCTATTTCTTTATCAAGCTCATCGACTAACTGAATTTTATTGAAGCGTGGTGGAACATATGCTAACGCAATTATCAATTTGTTTCCACCAATTTCAACAAGTATTGATATGGACTCTGGCAAACCACTATCATTTTCTTCAATTAAAATTGTTTTTTCGCCAACTTGTATCATAGTTCCACCACCTTTTGTTACTCTATAATTCGTGATAACGGTATGAAAACCTTTGATTCTATACATTTTGAGATCGTCATTTTCATTTAACCAAGTTTCTGTTAAACATAATATACTAATAGGAGACTCGAGACTACTAAGAAGTGCTTCTACATCTTCGTGATGCTTTTTAAATTAGACGGTAAAACATAAACGTTAGCACATACGATTTTTCCGTTGTTGTAGTTTAGGTTTTTGGCGATGTTGATGATTTGTTTAAAACATTTTTCTCGAAGCGTTTTTTAACATCATTGTATGTGTAGTCTAGCAGCTTTCCTCCCACGAATAATTGGTCAATTTTTTCAATCTGTTGATTTCCTTCTCGCTGAAAAAAAATAGGCCCTTCACGCCTCCAGGCATTCTCAATACGGGGATCGTTTCTCGTCAAGTTGAAAAAATTGAGCCTTGGTCGGCTCAAGTCTTCGAACACTCGTACATAAGTCAGCTGTTTATTTTCTCTCAATAATTTTTCCTTTCGCAGTAAGTTGTTTTTCGCAGTGCTTCTCGCAAACTTGACAATTATCGGCCTACTCTGGGTGCCGCGCGCTGGGAGTCGATGCGCAATAGATACATCTTTTTCATCAATAGTCGCATCAATTTGTCTTGCTAATTCAATCACCTTAGTTAGCGCTACGTTTTCCTGTTCATATTCTTTGCGATTTTTAGATTGCAAGTTTTTCTCACTTAAGCCGGTTATTCTTACATTGTCTCGCCGATTGTACGATTCCATCCATTCAGCTTGCGACAGAACGTGTAACTTTGAACTGTTCGCTTGATCTGCAACTTTTTCGTCTACCTGACGTTGGAAGTTACTTCTGAAGTCCTCCATTGCTTCATCGACTAAACGCTTTAATGACTCGTTCATTTCTGTACGGATCGTTTTAATAAACTCAGTTTTAAGTCTTTCCATTTGTTTTGAGATGGTAGTTTCGATTGTCTGGATCATAATTGATTCAGATTTTTCATTTGGTGGGCTCAGCATAATGAAGGGTCTTTTGATATCGGGTCTATCTTCCTTTCTGCCAGTACCAAGAGGGGTTTGGTCCTGAAATATCAAGATGGGTATTTCTTTCAATGAGAACTGGTTCTTGTCCGAATCCATTTTTAGTTATCTGAAACTATTTATTAAGTTTATCTCAACAATTAGGCTAATGCTTTTGATGATTTAATTGGAATCCGGTTATTTTTATGCCCAGGTACTTGGAAGTGGAGAGCCACGATGACAAGACAGAAGACGGTGTCCGCAAAGTGTTCAGGAGTGTCAAAGTGTACCTGGAACACTACCTGAAACTACTCGCAACTGCCGCTGATCAAAATAGAGACATATCGAACAGTAGTAACAGTGACTCAAAGAAGGAAATGTGTCATAGCGCCATCACTGCAGAAGCCATGCAGAACCAGATGACATTTGTCAGGTAAACTGGTAGTTTGATTAAGTAGACAAGTTTTGCCAGTTTGGACTGGCTGTTTATTAGAAAGAGCAAATGGCTGGTTTGGTTAGAAAGATTGTGTTAGCAAGTATCATATCTGAAGGTAAGTTTTTCTTGTCATTGTTGAAGTTTCATTGGTTGCTGAGGTTTTATATCTAGTAAATGATAATTGATGATTATGATTATTGATGATAAATGATAATTGATTAGTCTATCGAAAACAACATGCAAGTTACTTGCTTGTTTTTTTTTCTGCCACAAGCCTTCATGTTCAATTTTCCTCGATCGGTTTTTATCAGTGCATTAAAAAAGTCTCCTTCAAGTTGTGATAACTCAAGATGAGTTCAATCTTTTTAGACTGCTGAATGAGCGCATGTGTCAAGCGAGAGACAAGGGCAAGAGTCGAGAGGAGAGGGAGCGACTCCTGAAAGACATGCTCAAACATCCAGTCATGTCAGCAGTAGCTTCATCATCGGGACCATTAGCAACAGTGCCCAACTACTCCTTGTCGTCAACAGGAGCAGTGGCTGCTTCATCTGCAAGTGGAATTGGGTCTGAAAGTGCTGAAGGTCACAGTGGCACAATTGCAATTGCGACTGTCACTCACGTAAACGCGCCAGTCGGTAAATTGATCTTTCTGCTGTGTCTTAATTAAGCCTATTTTTGGCTGTTTTTCCTTTTCCTCCTGCTATTTTCTAAAATTATTTTATCCGTTAACATTTTCGGTTTGTGCTCTTTTCCAGTTTCCCCCACCCCCCTCGTAAAATTGCAAAATAGAGCTGTTAAAAATTTGTTTACACAGCGTTTTGCCTGTAAAAAATGTTGTAAGTGTTCCAATAAAAAATACGAAAGTGTTTTCGGGTCTTTCTCATTATAATAGCACCCCCCCCCCCATTAAATTTTTTGTTCCTATGCTGGGGGTTATAATGGGAAAGACCCGTGATTTCTGCCTGTGCTTCAGAAGTTTTCAACTTCCACTGCTTTCCCAAGCCCTTCCCCCACCCAGTGGACTCTAAAGTGGTGGTGTACGGGATAGACGTAGAGGGCATCCGACTGTTCAAGAGTGCCATGGCACCCGCCAGAATCAAGTTCTTCACTGACTGCAAGTCCGCGCAGATAGCACGTGCTAAATACCAACCGCAGGCTAGAACTAAACCGCATATAGTAATTGATACTATTTTACGTTTTGGTCCCTCAATAAAAACTAGTTTATCTGATAGGCTTAGGCTTAATAGAGGGAGGCGGTGAAGTCTCTGTTTCTCAATGATCCCATAATGCTAATTGTGATTACAGCTTCAATTGTTTCTAATTGATAACACATCAAAAAGATAGTTTCAACTTTTTAAAAAATTCATCTCACAAAAATTAGATTGACTGATTTTTTTTGAACATTTGAAAGTTTTTAAAAACGACAATTTTGTGAGACTTAAAAATTGGCCTTCTACCTAATATTTCCCTGTAAAGCGTGTTTGCTCTCAATTTCATTTCTGACAACCGAGTCATTTTTTTTCACTTGCGAGAGTTTTATCCATTTGGCAAATTTTCCTAATTCGAATTTGGATTTTCCGTCTCAATTTTTATCCGCTGGCAATGCTATTTTGTTTTTTTTATAGCTCAAATGTTTGCTTTTGTTTATAAAAATATTAGCTTTTAAATATTTTATTTTGTGCTAATGATAAATAGGGATTAGAACTATTTGATTCCGTATATACAAAACTGGGAGCTTGATCTATTATTTGGTCGATAGATTCTCGACAAGCTAATTATAAATAATGCAAATAAAAGAGTTTGTGGTGAAAATTAACAAGCGGTATCAAATCGAAAAAGGACTTTCTGATATTAATTTGTTCCAAAAAAGCCAGTTGATTTGAATCACGAGTTTTCTTGTGCTGAAAGCATGTTTCATTATATTTCATTGTAGTTGCACGTGAAAGTGTTGTTCATTGTAGTTTCAAGAGGGGTTCAATAGGGTTTTTAGCGCACAATTTGCGTCTGCTAAAAGGTTGTCGGCTTTGTTTCCTTTTTGTAAACTCTGTTCTATTGCTAATTTAATATTTAAGCGTCTGGCATGTTTGAAAATCGAGATCTTTGAAAATCAAAGTTTTCGTAGAAATTAAAAAAACCCTGATTTAAGTTTGTTCGTTTCAGTTGCTACCCTCAGCCGAAGGTGGCAGTAACGTGGTTAAGAAGCAGGTAGCGGCGGGGTTAGGGGAAACTAAATTCCTGTCGCCCCCCTACATGTCCATCTACAAAGTGGGAGATGATGTCAGACAGGATCAGCTGGTGGTGCAGACCATCGCTCTCATGGACGAGGTCAGTCAAGGTCAAGTGTGAATGATTCGATATACTGTATGAGTCATGAATGCGGTTACGAGTATCACAATTTGGCTCTTATCACTTTTTTCCCAGTTCTTGGAAGCACGGTCTTTTTTAATCCTTTTTTTCATCGTAGAAGTACCGTATTCCAGGGTTAGGTATGAAGAGCTAATATAATTGTGATAGCCTAATTATTAAGAGTCGATGAACGTAGTTGAGACTCTTATATAGGCCGCGATCATTTTTTGTTTTTTTTTTTTCAGGAAAAATCTAAAATTTGTTCAGGCTCAAATTTACTTTTTTGCGGTTTGAAATTTGGTTTCTTTTTAGGTTCATTTCCAAACTCAACTATGGAACAGCGAAACCTAAAAGGTCACGAAAAACGTTATCAACTTCTAGTTTCGAAAATGGAATTTAATTTTCAGATTTCACAGCGAAATAAAAAAAACTTACCTATTGATCCATTGTAATCAAAATGTGTTAATTTTATCAAAAAAGTGCTTAAAATCAATTGTTCTATAAATTCAAAGAGCGTAAAGGGCGTCCATTTGTTTTCTCTGAAATTCGAAAGCTGAGACTTTTTCAAAAAACAAGTCAGTTTTTTCTGCGTTAAATTGCGTTCATTGAATCTTTTCTCACTGTCTGTTGGCTATGTTTCCTTATGCCAATTTACTATCGGACATCGTCAACAAAATAGTTCTTGGTAAATATTTGCAAGATATTGGTGGGTATCTCGATTCTATTGGTGGGGGTGTCCCATAATGTATGATTGTGTTTGTTTCAGATTCTTAAGCGTGAGCATTTGGACCTGAAGCTGAAACCGTACCGAGTGATGGCAACTAACATGTTGGATGGGAGTGGCAAGTACACCAAGTGTGGCTTCATTGAGATGGTGCCCTCTGAGTCCGTGCAGGATGTGCTCAAGAAGCACAGACGCAGCATCAAGGTCTGTAATTATCATACTTTTCCGCACTATTTTTAGTTTAAGCCCAGTAGTGAAAATTGTTGCAATTTTCATCCATGGCACTACTGTACCAGTCAGTTTAAGTAAATGGTTTGCAAACTATCTGAGTGGAAGGCAAGTCAATACAAATTTTATGGGCGACCTGTTTTCATCCAGGATTATACGAACAGGCGTCCCCCAGGGTTCTGTCCCCTCGCCCACTCTTTTTAAATTTTACGTGCACGATGCAGTCAATTATCCTCCTGAATTCAAACTCCAGTCTTATGCCAAGTATTTTCACCCATTTGTTCAATCGCGCGACAGAATAATTACATGCCCCTGTTACTTTAGTATTTATCTTAAGGAACTAACTTTTTTTTTACTAGCAGATTGCTCGACTTTTCTTCTCCTAAGAGCTCTGCACGACGCATAACAAAGAGTTCAGCTCTGACCCTAAAGTTACAATGTGCGCAACATTACTGTCAGTCGAAAAAGATACCAAAATTATTGGTTTCTTTTTCGGTCCTTCAATCAATTTTACCGAACAGTGCAAACGCACAGCGAGCAAAGCAATACCGGTCTTACAGGCGCTGTCTAGATTAAACTGGGTCAGTCGAAAGAGACTTTAATTGTTACTTTGAAAACAATAATAAGACCAATCATGGTTGCGCCTGTCCAGCTTGGTCTCACGCGGCAAGCGCTAGCCCCATAACTAAAGTCCAAATAGTGCAGCTCTGCGGATAGTTACATGGTGTACTGAGATGACTCCCATTGACCACCTACATTCAGAGTGCAAACTATCGAACATCATCACAAACCAATTGCTTATTAATGCGTTTTCATGACCTTCATGCTAACAAACCCCCTCTTTTTTAACCATGCCCACACTAAAACACCCCGCCAGGTCCGCGTGAGCATCATAAACTCTTGTTTATAGGAACTCGACTACATATATTTTTTAGAAGGAAACGAGTCTGATTCTTTTGGCGGTTTTAAGCACCTAAGTGGTTCCATAAACAACAATTTCAAAACACTTTTAAAGAATGTTCAGACCAACAGAAAATAGAGAGCCATAGACGAAGCCACTGCCCAAAATACAAGTTTTTTTGCGACTGCTTTAAGTCCATTTATAAAATAATTTTTTTTCCAAAAAAAGTAAAACTTCTATTATTCGTGTTTTCTGTCACCGCTGATAGCAATCACCTATGAATACGAAACGATGAGTTAGACTGTCGAACAGAGTTAAAGGAATCGTACTCTTTCAAATTAATGCCAAAGTCAACTTACTCATCTTCAAGTTAATTTTAATGTTCAATAATTCATTTGCTATAATCAAGCCAAACTCCACTATCGTACATCAAAAGTATAAAGGTCCTAAAAACGTGAGTGACTTCTAGTTTCAAAAATGGATTTTAATTTTCAAATTTCTCAGAGGAATAAAATTTTAATCATAAATTAGACCTACTTAACAATCTCTCCCCCTTCAAGAAGGGGAGAGAACTGTTTGAGTATATTCAGTTATCCAAATTTTCGAACCATCGGAATGCAACAAAAATAGAATTCTCAATAGTAAGCTAGATCTCAAATAGTAAGCTAGTATTCTCAATTGTTACGTAGATCCGATTAGTTGTGCTTAAAATTCAAAGAGCTTTAAGGTCATCTATTTTCCTTTGGCATTCGAAAGCAGTAGTTTTTTTCTCCAAAAAACACTTCAATCGTTTTTTTTTGTTTCTTGAAATCGTTCACTTTTTTTCTCCATTTCCAACTGTCTGATGGCTATGTTTAATCTGTAGTCATTTGGTTTCAATTTCGTTTCAGAACTGGTTGGTGGCCATTTCTCCCTCTGCTGCTGATGGTTCCCCCGGCAGCACCAGCAGTCAGGAGGGGCTGGTGGATCCTGAAGTTATGGATACTTATGTGAGGAGTTGTGCGGGATACTGTGTCATCACTTATCTGCTAGGAGTGGGCGACAGACATCTGGAGAATTTACTCCTAACCAGACAGGGTTCGAAAGACTTTTAAAAGTAGTTTAATGATCATCATCACCTCATTTTTTGTCAGTCGCAGCTATAGCAGGTGTGAATCTTTTGGTGTTTATTGTTCCGAGGAATTTTGTATTCGGGTGTGTTTTAGTTTTTTATTTTTGTTTTCCATGCAAAATCAGGTACTATATAAAATCATCAGAATGGGTCGAGTGATATGTCATACTATAGCCCTTTCAGTCGTGATCCAAACAACATTTAAAAAAATTTGATTTTTTTTTCAGTTTTGAGAAAACTTGTTTGAAGTTTTTTATTTTCTGTCCAATTCCGAGTGAATAAAACGAGCGAGTTGGATAATTTATGCTTAATATAGGCCTCTTAAAACATCTTATTTGTGCCTTTGTTTACTTTTATTCGATTAAAATTAATTTTCTAATTGTTTTTTTTTATTTTTCAATGTTCTACATAAAAATGTTATACAATTTGCCTATTATACTATGAATCCCGAATATGCCTATAATAAGTTCTAGTTTTTTTCAGATCCTTTTATCACACCACGAAGAAAGAATGAGACTAATTTGAAGAAAAAAATTTTTTAAGACTATGGTCAGAAATTCTGTGCTATTTGGACAGCAGCTGGCTATCCTTGTTGAAACTAACGCACGTTCATTTGTATTCCAAGTTTTTTGAAAGATGTATTGTTTGTGGAGTGTTTGTTGTTTTTACTTATTTTGAAGATAATTGTTGTCATCCTTGCCTATTTCGCTAATTTTATACGCGTTCTCATCACACATTGAAATTGTTTTTTTCCTGGTGAATGGGGTCGGAAAATTTTGCGCTAAATGCACAGCAACCGGCTATCTTTGTTACGCCTGGGGTTGTTACGCTTGTTGTTTTAACGCTTGTTGTTTTTTATGCTTGAGATAAGCAAGCGTTAGCTAATCGGAATCTAAATTTTTTCGGGTGAACAACTTGTTTAACAAAATCCCTTGAATCATTTAACTACTTGTTTACACTTGCGAACATCTAGTGTATTAGTACGAACCTTCTTTTTTCTAACCGATTCGCAAACAAAAGTGTTCATTGAAATTGTTCACTTATATGGAAATTTTACTGTAGCATTGAGAATTGCATGTTATCGGTTCTCTGCTTTATATGTGGCTAGTGTTTGGTATTAATTAAGCGTTCGAGGCTGAGTGGTTAGTGCGTGAGACTCATAATTTCTAGGTTGCAGTAGGTAGAAGGTTCGAATCCGAGATGCAGCCAAATGTATAGAGCTGCTTTTTGTGTTCTCGAAGTGTTTGCGAATCGAAGCTTCGTGTCTGTGTTTATTAGTTAAGTCAAGTTTCTTTTCTTCTTCGGCGCACTTGGCCTAAAAGTTACGAATATGCCGAAAGCGGCAAAAATACTGCATTCAAATCTGTATGAAATTTTTCCGTTTCAAACTTTTGACGCGTCATCGTTTGTCTGATTGTTTGAAAGGCTTAATTTTGTTTCAAAGTCTTTATTTTTTCTAGATTTAAAAGGAACGTAATTATTAGGCCGTCTCTCTGGAAACAAAAGGATAAAAATTTCGGCTCATTGCAGTGTTTCATGTCAATAGGTCTGTTTCCGGCTCAACGCGAGTTTTTCCCAGGTTGAAGATCAATCAAGAGAAATTACGCAACTTTTGTAATTGTCATTTTTTTTCAACAGTTTTCAGTTTTTCAATAGTCGATGATCGTAATGAAGACTCTTATATAGCTCTAGTGGATTTTTTTTTCAGGAAAAAGTCTTGCGGTTTGATTTCTGATTTTTTTAAATGTTCATTTCAATTCACTTTATGAAAAGAATGAAAGTTTCCAATAATCCAGTGTGCCCAAATAGGGTTAAGTTTATTAGGAGTCGATGAACGTAACTCAGACTCTTATGTATTTCGTGATGATTTTTTCTTCAGGATCAAATTTAATTTTTCCCGGTTTGAATTTTGATTTTTTTAAGTTTCAGTTCGTTTCCTGTTTTAAATGGAATGCTAACTCCACTATCGAACAGCAAAGATATTAAGATCTTGAAAAATGTAATCGACCTTAAATTTGGGATAATGGAATTCAGTTTTCAGATTTCGCAGCAAAATAAAAAATTTACGTACTGATCTAGTTTTCTCAAAATGAGTTATAAAAGTGTTGATCATAAATTGTTGTAGAAAATCAAAGAGTTTTAATCCATTCATTTTTTCTTTGTAGTTCGAAGGTTGAGATTTTAAAAAACAAGTCTGTTTTTTTTTTCTGTTTTCTTGCGTTCTTTGGCTATGTTTAAAGCTTGTGTTATAGTATGAACTCTCTTTTTTTTCCAACCTAAGTCACAAATATTGTTGCGACGCAAATATTGTAGCGACCAATTGTGTTCATTTTGACCAACAACTAGCTGTTAAGTACAGCCAATATTAAGGATATTAACATAGACTTTTATATTACAAATAGCACTTAGGCTAAAACGTATCATGAATCTGTAGAGTAGAGGTAGGGAAAGAGACCAGCAACAAAATAAGAGGGTCCAATCCTGGGCAGGGTCTGATGTTTTTAATGATTTTTTTCATATACTAGCTAAAATGCGTCCGCTCTATAAATTGAGGCATGTTAGTGGTACATTTCTTTTTTTTTTCAAATTGACGGGTACTGCTAATGCGTCATAATTGGCTTGCGTCACTTAGCAATTATGTAGACTCATAATTGGCATGCGTCACCTAAAAAATTGTTGACTCAATGTTTTACTCATTCAGTTTTTCCCAGTAGCGTTAAAATCAAGTTTTTAGCCTAAAAGACATAACTTTCATATAACGAACGCTACTCGATCGCTTCAGTCCTTAATTTAGTCTAAAACTCAAAAATTTCAACCCGTTTTTTCTCGATACTGGGACACTTTTTGAAAACAAATTTACTATCGTTCGAATCAATGTTGAAAGGGCTTCAATATGATATATCTCTTAACCCCTTCCGATGATTATTTGTTGTACCTGATTTTGTGTGGAAAAAGTTTTAAATAAAAACTTAAACAACCGAATACAAAGTTTCTCGGAACAATTTTCTAAGTTTTATGAAAAAACTGTCTGCAAAATCTTGATATATAAGGAGACTTAACGTGATGTGATTTTTTCCGTTTCACTTGAGTTCACTGACACTTTTCGATTTTTCTGTTGGCTCTGTTCTTAAATTGTGTTCACCTGTGATTCGATGCTCAGATTCGCTGTTTTGATTTGAAAATCAATTTGTCCTTGTATTTTAAGTCTTCGCAAAACGTATTATCTAATTAGTTTAATGGTATTAAAGGTCTTGGTAGTTGTTTGAATTTATTTTTAGAAAAGGCGTGAGGTGGTCTGATTTCTGATTCGATCTTAGCTTTGTTTGTTGTTTACTGGAAAGTACCCTGACCTAATAGTTGTCTCAATGAATCATTCGATTTCCAAACAAGTTTGATTTGAAGTCTTATTACTCAGTTTAATACCAAGTTTAATTTGAATTAGTCATAAAATTCTTTCGACCAATAGTTATTGTCAACTTCCGAAGATAATCAGAATGCAGTTTTTGCCTTTCATTTTGTTCGTCGCGTTAGTGGTGGGAATAATTGTAGTCATATTTTTTGTGCTATTTGTCCTGGCAGTGAAGTTTCAGGAAAGTGGAACACCAATTATTCTTGCAAAACGAACGGCCGTTGGTCGTTCTTACAACAGCTCCATCTATGTAAATTTGAATAGAAACGACAATGACAGAATGAATCGCCACGTGTCTTCGTACGGTTCTCCGATGTCTCCGAATTTGAGCAGAACAATTGGGAACCGAATAGATCTGAGTTCGAATTCAGAGCACTTCGAGGTCTAATTTCGCTTCTAATTTCGAAGACTCATATAGAGAAGTAATGTTTTGTGAGTTGGAAAATTTGGACAACGAAATTGATGACTTATGTGGCTAACTGATGACATTGCATCGATGACCTATCACGCGGTAGGATATGGCAAAAATGCAGATTTTCGTACCCCTTGAAATATGCGATTGGAGAGATTGGTTGAAGAGACTTTGTGGTTTTCGTAGAATCATAGTACAATTTCTTCTTCAATGAAATATTACATAGAAGTCCACAAATGAAGCGAAAAAGCGCGAATGTAAAATCCGCAGCCGCAGATAGCAACGAAATAAATAATGACGGTTCCAAAAATTATCCAATTATGTATAAACGGCCTTATTCTTGAGTTTAATTTATTTCAGAATTGTAAATATATCAAATGATTTATCAGTTCAATTGTTTAACAAGGACAGAACAGAGAGAAGCCATGATGTTTGCGGACGAATAGTGGGTGATATGTTTCAATAGGTGATAATTTTGATACAAATTTGAACAAAGCATGTATTTAATTTGAGAACTATAATGCATAATACATTCAGTTCATTTTAAGATTCGATGAACAAAGTTCAGACTCTTGTGTAGGTCGTGATGAATTGTTTTGTATTTTTTTTTCAGAAAAAACTTAAAATGCTCTAAGAAGTGCATTCATACTTATAAATGCACATATGAATGCTTTAGGTATATCTGCACTTTTGAGTTCAATTCAATTTCATTTGCTGGAAGGTAGGCAAAATGCATTCTCCGATTATGAAAGCTGAAATGGCGCAAAAAACGTGATCGATTTCTAGATTCGAAGGTGGAATTTAATTTTTAGATTTCCCAGCGGAACATGCACTCTACCTATTGATCATATTTTCTTATTTTGGGTTATTTCTTATCAAACAAGTGTTCATTATCAATTATCTGGAAATTCAAAGAGCCTTAAGTCTGTATATCTTGTCTATGAAATTCGGAGTTGGAAGTTTTTTTTAAAAAAAGCAAGTCTTTTTTTCTTCTTTCTTTGCGTTCATTGACTCTTTTCCAGCTGTTTGTTGGCTATGTTCAATCAACTATACATGCTATCAAAAAGTTATTGAACATTACTCTGCCGCTTTAAATATTATTTTTTAACTCAAACATTACATTTTCGCCAAAATGTTTGGCTTCGAATTAAATTATAAAAACTGATCAAACTATAACAAAGGGTTGATCCAGCTGATCAATTTGAATCTGCCATATTTTTTTAATATATCACCGAATAGTCTAATTTTTGCTGGTACGTAATAGAAATTTGTATTAAGGAAAGGTTAAGAAGAATAAAAACTTTGCAAAAAAAAGTTATTTGACATAAGTGGAGCTATAATTGTGTAATTTTTACAATCATATCTGAAACAAATAGCCTTTTTTATTGCTTGGTTTTATCGCAATACTCATACTACGGGATTTCTGGCTCTCAGTTTGCGCTAAAGAACAATGCATGTTGTAATTGGGCGTGTAAACTAGTTAGTTACGTAGCGCACTGTATTACTATCACTCTACTTTTTTTCCAACCTAGCTCGCAAACAAAGATGCTGATTTGATGGCACTTTTGCTAGTGTCACGACCTGTATCATTGAAAGTTTTGTAGCACCTGTTCTCTGCTTTTTTTGTGGCTCGTGTTTGAAGCCGCAGTTTCCAATCTGACACAGCAAATGTTTTTTTATTTTGAGGCTCATTTTTACTTTTCTGATTTCTAATTTCAGTTTATAGAGCTGCTGTTTCGTTTTCTCACTAGTGTGCGGAGCACAGCTTCGCCTCTGTGAAAAATAAGTGTATTTACAAGCGGAGCGTATTGTGCTACTGTCAAGCAACTTTTTAAAACGCGAATCGCAGTGCTACTTTTGGTGGCACTTTCCCAGCATTAGCAGTTCAATAGCATGTACTTTGAAATTTCTTTTTAATGAGTTAAAACATTTGATATTTTTTTATTTTATCAAATGAACCGAAAAAGGCTATTTGTTATATACTTATATAGAATGATAAAAGTTCCTTTTCAGTAATTTTCAAGAGTAATGAACGTAGCGAAGACTTTTATATAGGTCTTACTGAGTTTTTTGTTTTTTTATTTTTTCTGTAAAAAGTCTTAAAATATTGATGCGCTTAGGTATAATGCACTTTTTGAGTTTACTTGAAATTCATCTACTGAAAGTGACGTAAGTAGCACTCTCCAAATACAAACGTGGAAATAGCGCGAAAAAACGCGAACGATATCTAGTTTCGAAAGTGGAATTTATTTTTAAGATTTTCAGCGGAATAAAAACTTTACCTTTTGATCCAGTTTTCTCAAGTTGGGTTCATATTATCAAAAAAGCGCCAATCATGAATTGTTTCAGAAATTCAAAGAGCTTAATGGGCATCCGTTTTTTTCTTTGAAATTCGAAAGTGAGATTTTTTCAAGAAAATCAATGTTTTATGTTTTACTTGCGTTCATTACTCTTTTCCAATCTTCGATTGGCTTTGCTCTAAATCATTATAACTCAGGAGATTGTTGAAAAGCATACTTCATACACATTTTGGTTTTTTATATTTCAATTTTTATACGCAAATTCTTTGTGCTTGTCTTTAGTGTATTAAATTCCAAGTTCTTACCTGAAAAAAAACTCTGAGCGACAAAACGTGCGTATAGCGACTTTTTTGCGCATTTTAAACCTCGCGTTTGCCGCTTTCTTCTCTATTGTGTTTGCGAAGTTGCAGATTCACCTCTGTGTAAACGTATACTATTTACATTTATGCGAACGAAGTTATAGCTTAGTTAAAATTCAACGAAGTTATAGCGAAAACTGGCCAGATAAATTCCAATTATATCTGCGTAAAGTTTTGAAGAATCATAGAGATAAATTGTTTTTTTTTTGTGAGTTGGAAAATTTGAACACGCAAATAAATGACCTCGGTGAACTGATGACATTGTATCGATGACTTAGCCTGCTATAGGATATGACAAAAGCGCATATTTGCTTACCCCTTAAAAGGTGCGAATGGAGAGATATGTTGATGAAGCTTAGTGATATGCTAGAATTGGTACCATCATTGAATTTATACCTTGAAGTCCACAATAACGAAGCTCAATAGTTTACAGACTGGCGAAAAAGTAGCAGACGACTTGTACATTTTATGCATACCACGAAAATTACAGCTGCAGAAGATATGAACAAAAGAAATAAGAACGATTTTTAAAATTTTGTCTTCAAATATGTATAATTGACCTAATTCTTGATATAAAAAATATTTCAGAATTGTAAATATATCAAATCATTTAAAAGTTCAGTTTTTATAAGGACAGATTAGAGAAGAGTCATTATGTTTGCGGACTAATAGTCTAGTTTTGTCAGCACTTAGTTGATTAGAGTTACTCGGGTGGAAAGATCTAAGAAGAAGAAAAGGTTATCTAAAAAAGTTGTTTCGACATTAGCGGATCCAAGCTTTTGTTTTAATTACACAATACTTTGTTTCCTAAAAAAGTCGCACTTTTTATCCAAAACAATACTTTGGGATTTCCAACTCATTTCGCGCTAAATAATAATCCATGTTGCAGCGACTATAATGGGTGTTAAATTTGGAGTTTTTATATTAGCAGAACGCAGTGTGATTCAGCTAAGCAACTTTTTATAACCCAAATTGCAAGTTTTACGACACGTTTGGTAGCACTTCGCAGCATTGGGAGTTTAGCAGAATGTGCTTTAGATTTTTATACTAATTAGTTAAAACAGCAGATGCTTTTTTTATTCCGAAGTTGTAGATTAATCTGTTTGAAGATATTCTATTTAAATTGAAGTCTTAAGCGCTATGTGCATTGAATCGAGTTTGAGACTAAACATGAACAATTTAGCTCAATTTTTATGTTAAAAATTTGTCTTTTGGCTTACAAGCCTTTTTGATGATCTTCAGAATGATCATGTAAATGTTTCATGTTCACTGATGTTTTTTTTTCAAATATCATTTTGGGTTGCCATGAATTGATTAAATTAAAATTTTTGGAATTGATGATTTTTAAATTGCTGGCAACTTGGTTTCATTTTAAATTAATTGCATTTTTTTTCGTTCCGATCGTTTTCAAAAATCAAGTAACACAAATAATCTTTGCAATGAGTCCAATAATTTTTCATATTGAAGTTCTTTCAGTAGTAATTCGAACGACCTGAAAAATTTTCCAAAAGTTGTCTCAACTTCGAGGTAATAAAAAGCGAGTGAGCAGGCTCATAAGAGAGGGGGATGAGTTTTTTCGAGGTTTATTTCAGCGCTTCCCTTGGAATATGTTTTTTTTGCTTTTATTGTTTTTCTTTTTTTTTTGAAAAAAAAAACTTTTTTTTTCGAAAATTTTTTTTTTTCGAAGATCTTTTTTTTTCGAAAAAAAGGATTTGCCTAATTTTCTATTAGTATCGAATACATATTAAAGTTCTCGGTTTTGTTCAGATACTTTCATTATGCCTTGAAAAATAATATGAGTTAAAACATTTTTTATAAGATATTTTTTATTATTGTGATCGGAAATATCTGTGCTACTTGCGCAGCAACTGGCTATCCTCTCTCTAATGAATTTAAAATTAGCTTGATTTATCGAAATAATTTATTGTTTTTTTGCGTAAGGTTTTGCAATGACAATTTTGGTCGAAATTTTTTTTTCTTGAAGTTTTCTTGATTAATAAGAGAATTTGATTTAACGTTAACACTTAACATTTGCGTTATTATTTTTTGCTATATAGTTTTTGAAGAGAACGCTTAATGAGTAGTTTCTGAGTTATTATCAATTACGATGTTAAAAAGCGAAACAAATGGTATAAAATTTGTTTTTTTTCCCCAATTTATATGGCGAAATGGTGGGTTTCGGCTGAACTTCTATCGGCCCAGCTTCCCTGTGTGTTTCATCGATAGATTTTTAAAATTATAATAAATCATAAGAATACAAATAACGAACCTTTTTTACCTTCCTAAAACGTTTTGCTGCTTTGATTTTAAAAAAATGCGTATTCAAGTTGTGCTTTGATCAAAAAATTTTTCAGCTTTTTAAGTTTAATTTGTTTTCGGGATTCTTAGCTTCACGATGGTTGGTTCATCACATTTTGATGCTCTATTTGAACAAGCAACTGTACCTTGAAATCATTTTTTCTTGATTCTTTTGTTGTCTTTCCAAATTGTTCAGTAGATAGTGAAAACTATTTCCTTCATGATGGAAGATTTGACTTCAAAGTGTGTATCTGTGCTTTGTTTCAGGCCACCTGTTCCACATAGACTTCGGCTTCATCCTGGACAGGGACCCGAAGCCCTTCCCTCCCCCGATGAAGTTGAACAAGGAGATGGTGGAGGGCATGGGCTACGTGGGCAATGTGGAGTCCGAGCAGTACAAGGAGTTCAAGAGCTTCTGCTTCGACGCTTTCCAGGCACTCAGAAGGTACCATACTCGGGCCATTTTTCCTAAAGGCCACTTTTTCCGGTGGTATATAAACCAGCGGAAGTATCAACCAACCGAAAATGCGTGAGTGTTATATAATTGTTGCGTATCGATTATGTGACAGTTACAAAGTTATGAACGTTTCATTCATATGATGTAGCTTTTCGGCTGGTTTTTAGACGCCGCGCATTTTCGGTTGGTTTATTCTTCAGCTGGTTTTTTTACTCTCCTTTTTTCTTTCATTCCTCGCACACTCGCAACGGACTGCCTTTCCCACCCTGCACAAACTTGGACTGTAACCAATAACTTAAGGAAGTTTCTGTTTGAATGCCAAATGTGCTGGCAATTGTGTAAAAATGGTCCGGTATGTTTTTATTATTTCAATAAATTGTTGTGATTGGACAAACTATCCGCTCGTTACTATTTTTTGGACTTTGTGAGAGGCAGTTGGACAAATTCAGGGCAGAGGGAAGTGCTTTTAGGTACTTTATTTCTAAGAAGCAATGAGTTAGAGTCGTCTTATCTAGTTTTTTAATCCGCTATAAAATTTAAACATTATCTGGCAGTACCATCTTCATAACTTTCTTGAAATCACAAGATAACGGTTTTTATGTTGTCACTAGTTATGAGTGTTTTGGCGAAGGCTTTGATTTTGTAGAGAGCGATGATGCAACATTATGAATCTGTTGTTATTAGATCTGCCAATCTGATCCTGAGTCTGTTCAACCTGATGATTCACTCCAACATTCCAGATATCTGTCTCGAGTCAGACAAAACCGTCAAAAAGGTTAGCTCCTGTATTCTATACATCAAAGCTGGACCTATTTTGATACATAAGTAGCATCTGTTGTAGTAATCGGATCAAGAAAATCACCTGAGTAAAAGCAGATAAGAGAGATCTCATTACAAAACCAGACAATCTTAAAATACCCCTTTTTAATTTGTAGGTCTCACAAATAGTATTAAGATCTCTTTTCTTATGGTTTACATGCAGTTCTTGTTTGCGTTTTTGGGTTATAAATTTTTGCCTCATCCTCGGAAACAACACGCTCGGATCAAGGTGAGTCTCGAACCACCGACCTCTCGACTGAAGTACCGAGACGTTCATTAGTGTTTTTGAACTAAATGTTTTTTTTTGTTCCGTTCTCTTTAGATCCAGGAGAAGTTCTGTCTGCAGATGTCGGACGTGGAGGCCACCCGCCAGTTCCAGATGCTCATCGACCAGAGTGTGCGAGCCCTCTTCACCGACCTCATGGACAAAGTGCACGAACTAGTCGTGGTGAGTCACTTCTCTATTGTTCGTAGTATTTATTTTTTCATCTTTCATAAAGTCTTCATTGATTTGATTTGAGTGAGTGTTTATGTACTTTTTGAGTGATTTAAATTTAAAAAAAAGATTTTTCAGTTAATTGCCACAAATTGGTTTAAATTGCTTATAGTTGATTTAAGTCGGATGGAATATTTCTGCTTAAGCTCGACATAAATTTTCCAAGAAACATAAGTGTCAATTTGCATTATTTTCGTGTTTGTTTAGGGCATCAAAAATTAGCAGTGTGGAAGTGACAAATTGTACCAGAGAAAGAACAGCTGCATTCTCAAAAACTCTTGTTGTTCTTAGATTTTGTGATCTCTTAGAAAAATTTATACGATAGATTTATAATTTAACGAATTTAATCTTGAAAAGTAGTTGTTCTCAAACAAAAATTTTGGATGTATATTCAAAGGGTATCAAATGCGAAATGTCAGGAAAGTAGGTTAATTGTCAAATTGAACAATTTTTCACAAGGGTTTTTAAATTTCTGAGCATTTTTAATAGAGATCTTGAAAAGAAACTAAAAATGAATTAACCATTCAAATTTAGCGCAGCATGTTATTTTTTGGCGCAGTTTTTTGTTGCGACCTCAAATAGGGAAAGAACTTTGTATTCAGGTGTTTTAGTTTTTGTCACTTGAAATTAGGTACACATATAAACTTCAATGATGGTCCAGGAATTTTTTTGCCTTAGACAAATTTAGAGCTGATAGTCTTGATTTATTGCTTTTACAAGTTGCTAAGATTTAAATGGTGTTTGCTAATCAAACCAGTTCTAGTTTGTCCATTAGAGCCATTAGTTATAGCCATTAGGCAGCTTTGAGCTCCTCTCGCTTCGCTACACGTTCAAAAAACGGCAATGGTTTGAAAAGGTAGTCGAATTTGTTTTGTTTTGCTTTATTGAAAAACTAATTGATTGGAACCTACGTTTTTTGCACAGAAACCGGCTATTATTGGTGAAATAGCGATTAGTTCAAACACAGACCCACGTTTGTTCAAAACTGTCGTTAGCTAGAGAATTCCTTAGTTTTAATTATGACTTCAAAGCGTTTTGAGACTTTAGCACTAAAAACTGCTCTGTTGAAACAAGTCCTGTTGAAACGAGCGTGTTCCATATTGCAAAAACTATTCTTTCAGTGTCTAAAATATCCAATTAAAGAACTGCAAAGAATCTCTAATTAACTGGATAATTTTTGCAGACGCTTCTTTTTAGTTTTCTCTGATTTTAAATTCTAGGTTGGAGTTAAGGCGAAATGAAACGTAACTAGTGCTCCGTTTTTTATACTTGACAATAGAAAAGTTGAACTGTTTTATTAAATTTGAAACTTCGCAGTTCGGTTTCCAGTTTCTTAGGTTTTCAAATTGACCAAATTGTTAAAACCTCATTTGAGAAAAATCATGTGAGCTCCCAATTAGTTCGATTCCTCATGTTATTTTGTACTTGTTTGTCGTGAGTAATCTAACATTCATTAACGAAAATTACAAATTGCAATTTAGCTCAAGATAGGACTGACAGAAAACCAACGAGAGGCTCGTTGAAGGCTGCCCCTTACTTAATGACATCATACCAATTTTAAAATATTAAAAGAAATGAAGATCAAACAAGAGGCTTTTTCATTTAAAAAACTTACATATAGCGCGATCAAATTTACTAAGAACTATATCTATCAAAATAAGGCCAGTAGAAAAGAGAGGTGACGCAATCACATGCTTATTCGAGTATAAAATTAAGATTTTCCGCAAAATAAAATTATTTAGTTACCATGAGAAAGACAAGTAGATCCAGTTTTTTAGAGCCAGTAATTCATTAGTAATTCATTCGCTAGTTTTTTTTCGAACTTCTTTTCCTTAAGTCCACCGCCCGGTCCCTTCAACGAGTGATATTCCATTTGAGAAAAATCATCAGCTCTGAGCTCCCAATTAGTTTGACACCCAATGTGAAATCATGGTAATCTTTTGGGCTAAGCTTGATGCTAATAAAAAACGTTTGAAACGTAAATGATGTGCAACTCTCATTTTGCTAACTGTTTGATTTGTAGAGACATATAAGAAGTAATTACCTGTTAATTGTTTTCGGATTATGAATTTAAACTTTGTTTCAAAAACTCGATCCAGGTGCTTAATATTGAAAACAGTTAACCAGCGAAAAGTTTTAAGGAGGCTTCGAAATCATATTCAATCTGTTTTTATGTATTTTTAGCGTCTTTCAGTCATTCCTTGAGTCTGAAAGAAGAAGACGAGAAAATAAGTTCATTATAATCAATTAGTGTAAACTTAGCAGTCTGGACTACGAGATTACTTCTTTACATCCTTTTCTGACTTGTTTCGTGACCGGCAAGGGAAAGGCCGATTTCTAACTCGTGTTTACGATATCCAATTTAATAGGATTTTTACTTGGGGTGAGGTTTCCTGTATCGAATTCTGCTGCGCTCACTTTTCTCGTCCCAGCTGTTTTATTCGACTTCAAGCCCAACTCTCAAGTTGGGCTTGATGAGCCAGCAAGTAATCTTGGGCTTGATGAGCCCAGCTGTTTTATTCGACTTCAAGCCCAACTCTCAAGTTGGGCTTGATGAGCCAGCAAGTAATGAGCCAGCAAGTAATCTAAAAAATTGCCTCTCGCGGTTCAAGTAGACGGTAATTTTCAATCCAGTGAATCCTTTTTTAATAAAGGATTTCTAATTTCTGCTTTGCTCATGCACTACAACTTTCGACTCACTTTGACAGTCACTACTATTCGATATCAATTGGACATAAATTTTCCGTCAGTCCGATTTGCCGCTTCAAGCTCTCAAATTGTTCTGCCTTTTTGAGGCTCTCTTGTACCCTACAAATCCTCATCTTTAATTTAACTTAACTTTGGTTAAAATCACGCAATTCCTTATCAGTCCCGACATCCGCTTGTTTTGCTCATCTGCGAATGTCTTATAACTACATCCCCATAAAACTTCGGAGTCTTTCATCAATTTTGTCCACTTATTATGTACAGGTATGTGGTAGGTGTCACAAATTGACACAAGCAGACAATTGTCATACGATCCTAATTTAATAGTTCTTCTTGACCTCAGCGAACTCTAGCACTTGAGTTCAAATCAACATCCAAAGTTTACTTACTGAGCCTTCCAGGTTTTATTTTAATTCTCCCGATAACGTTTCGACATCCAGTGGGTACTTGGACACCTTTTTCATGGGTAGCTATCTCATTTCAAGCATCTGAAATTCTCATCTATCTTCTGTTCCAATCCCGTCCTTCTAGATATCAAGGGAACGCAGCTCGGCTATCAGGGTCAAATTAAGCTAAAATTTCACCTCCGGTAACCGTTATCATTTGTGTCCAAGGGTTTTGAGGGGTTTGCGTTTTGCATGCGCATGTGTAAGCAACTCCAGTATTCCTCCTCTGAGTACAATAACATTAGATTTGTTAGTTCCAATTTGGGGGAGGGGTTTGGTCGGTTTTGTTTTACCTTTCTTTCTGGCCTATGAGGGACTAATTTTTCAAAGGATCGAACCATTCCGGATTCGAACTTTGTTTGCTTGTCTTTTTAACTTTTTTGTTGGTGAATACCAAGCTACTTACTACTCATTAGCTTTACTATACTGCCTACATTTCCCAAGAATTTGCCGAAAGTGTATTAGGATCACCGAACTCACACTTAGTTTCCATTTTCACGATTTGAAATAACCAATTCAGTACGCTTGATATAAATGTTGAAAACAAGCCAATGTGTCCAAACAAAGCATTTTTTAGATCTTTTTGTATGTGAGCTAATGTTCCAGAGAAAGGTTTTACACACATTAAAGTGAATTCGAGACATACTAATGTTCGTTTTGAAACGATCAGTATTGTAAAAGTGAAGTATAAACACCATTTGCATAGAAAACTGTGAACATACTCGTACAATACACAACTGTAATGTTGCTGAAATATTTTGACTTGCCTTCGATTTGAATGAAAGCAAAAAAAGACAAATGTAAGCTGATTTAAAGTTTGTTGCCATCATTAGACTGTGAGAGAGTCTAAAGAAAGTTGCGTATGATTTTTCAAGTCAATATATAATGCGGATTGTACTCTGCTGATTTTATTTTTAACTGAATGCTAATACGTGGGCAATATTGAAAAAATAGCATCTCGCATAAAATTGATAGGATTCTATTGAGCAGTAAGGTATCACAATTGCATGGAAAACGAGCATTTAGACTTTTCAGCTTTCTGTGTTACTAAAAATTCCCACCTCTGCTATCGATTGGAAAACATTTAATCGGAATTAGCTGCAACCTTAAGACAGGATTTTTGATTTCTTCTCTTTTTTCTAAATTATTGAGCGAGTTACAAAAAATAATCGTAGTTTTTGGTTTAGAAAATCTATCCAAATTGAATTTCGAGTAATTCAAAGTGAAATTTGATTATTTTGAACTTTGCTCTGAAACGCTCAGTGTTGTTTATTTTGAACTACAAAAAATATCTGAAAAAAAAACTTTATTAATGCAGTTGCTGTGTTATGTCGATGCGGCACTTCCATGTTTGTCAGTTTTTCTCAATTTGTTGAATCATGGCAATGTGTTATAGCAGAATCGTTCTATCGTGTTTTCTAAAAGTGAATTATGAACTTTCAATAACAAATAATTTGATACAATTGTTAATTTTAGATTAACTTCTTTTATTTACGGAATTTTAAGATCAAAACTGGCTACTACAATCATAAAGTTAAGTTTATGGATCGTTCCGTAATTTGTTTAATATCAGCAGTTTTTACAAAAATATTTCTTGTTTGAATTTTTGTTTAAAATCATGTATATTTCAAAATTTGTAATTTGCAAAATGTAAGGCCATCTAAATAAACCATTTTCATTTTTAAAAAATATATAACAAGCACTATTGTTCAACGTAACTGTTGAATGTTTTTTATTGTCTTCAAAAACGTAATTTAAAAAATAAATTTTTCAGAAAATCTTTTTTTCTTACAACATTTTTTTGAAAAAAGAAACTCAATTGATTACAAAAATGTGATGTGGATCGTTTGATTAGTTTTTAGAGCAGCAAAAACTGAAAAATTTGTTCACTTGTGATTGCAAAATTACATTTTTTAAGTGGTCCATCATTTGAATTGAAAATTTTATCAAAAGTTTTTAATTCAATTTATTTTCTTGAGCTAAGAAAGTTATACTTTTCTTGTTTAAAACGTTTGTTTTGTGGTTATGACGGTTTTGAAATTGGTTACAAAAATGCGCTGTGGATGGTTTTATTAGTTTTTAGAGCAGCAAAAATTTTGAAAAAAATGTTCACATATTGCAAAATTACTTTTTTTTATTTGATCCATCATTTGAATTAAAAACTTCATCAAAAATTTTAAATCAATTTATTTTTTTGAGCTAAGAAAGTTATTTTTTTCTTGTTTGACACGTTTGTTTTGTTGTTATTGAAAATAAGCTTTTTTGTATTTTCCGACATGCATATTTCAAAAAGTTTTAAAATCAATTCTTTGTGTTTCTTTTAAGCTCGAATTTTGGATCGTTCTATCGTGTTTTCTAAAAGTGAATTATGAACTTTCAATAACAAATAATTTGATACAATTGTTAATTTTAGATTAAATTCTTTTACTTACTGAATTTTACGATCAAAACTGGCTATTACAATCATAACGTTAAATTTATGGATCTTTCCGTAATTTGTTCAATATCAGCAATTTTTATAAAAATATTTCTTGTTTGAATTTTTGTTTAAAATCATGTATATTTCAAAATTTGTAATTTGCAAAATGTAAAGCCATTTAAATAAACCGTTTTCATTTGAAAAAACAAGCACTATCGTTCAACGTAACTGTTGAATGTTTTTTATTGTCTTCAAAAACGTAATTTGGAAAATAAATTTTTCAGAAAATCTTTTTTTCGTACAACCTTTTTTTGAAAAAAGAAACTGAATTGATTACAAAAATGTGCTGTGGTTCGTTTGATTAGTTTTTGGAGCAGCAAAAACTGAAAAACTTGTTGATATAAAAACTTCTTCTCTTGTGATTGCAAAATCACATTTTTTTAAGTGGTCCATCATTTGAATTGAAAACTTTAACAAAAGTTTTTAATTCAACTTGTTTTTTTGAGCTAAGAAAGTTATACTTTTCTTGTTTGAAACGTTTGCTTTGTTGTTATTGAAAATAGGCTTTTTTGTATTTTCCGACTTGCATATTTCAAAAAACTTTAAAATCATTTCTTTGTGTTTCTTTTAAGCTCGATTTTTGGATCGTTCTATCGTGTCTTCTAAAAGTGAATTATGAACTTTCAATAACAAATAAATTGATACAATTGTTAATTTTAGATTAAATTCTTTTTTTTACTGAATTTTAAGATCAAAACTGGCTATTACAATTATAATGTTAAGTTTATGGATCGTTCCGTAATTTGTTTAATATCAGCAATTTTTATAAAAATATTTCTTTTTTGAATTTTTGTTTAAAATCATGTATATTTCAAAATTTGTAATTTGCAAAATGTAAAGCCATTTAAATAAACCATTTTCAGTTTAACAAACAAGCACTATCGTTCAACGTAACTGTTGAATGTTTTTAATTGTCTCCAAAAACGTAATTTAGAAAATAAATTTTTCAGAAAATCTTTTTTTCTTACCACCTTTTTTTGAAAAAAGAAACTCAATTGATTACAAAAATGTGCTGTGAATCGTTTGATTAGTTTTTGGAGCAGAAAAAACTGAAAAACTTGTTGACTTAAAAACTTGTTCTCTTGTGATTGCAAAAGTACATTTTTTTAAGTGGTCCATCATTTGAATTGAAAACTTTATCAAAAGTTTTGAATTCAATTTGTTTTTTTTTTGAGCTAAGAAAGTTATACTTTTCTTGTTTGAAACGTTTGTTTTGTGGTTATGACGGTTTTGCAATTGGTTGCAAAAATGCGCTGTGGATCGTTTTATTAGTTTTTAGAGCAGCAAAACTTTTGAAAATATGTTCACATTTTGCAAAATTACTTTTTTTAAGTGATCCATTATTTGAATTAAAAACTTCATCAAAAAAATTAATTCAATTTGTTTTTTTTTGAGCTGAGAAAGTTATACTTTTCTTGTTTAACACGTTTGTTTTGTTGTTATTGAAAATCCACTTCTCTGTATTTTCCGACATGCATATTTCAAAAAAGTTTTAAAATCATTTCTTTGTGTTTCTTTTAGGCTCGAATTTTGGATTCGGACGTGTTCTTTTTAATTCTTTACTTTTTTGTCACTGTGTTTCATATTGCTTGAAACATACTGGGCTAAATCTACGACACCTCAACTTCGTCTTGATGCAGCCAGTGTTGTAAAAGTGAAGAGAAATAGTTCATCTGCGTTGAAAGACGCATAAACGCAAAACCGTCATAAATAAAAACAAGACTGCTCGTACCAGGGCAAAGCCCTGAATGTTCCGACCGCCTTTTAATGTTTATGGAGCAGTAATAACATTTAAGAAATTAAATAAAATAAAACAAAATGAATTTTTTTTCTTCTAAAATTTGAATTTTTTAAATGAAAATCATCCCCCACACTCCATATTAAGTACAAAAGGATAAATTTCGCTCCTTGTAACAAATCAATTATGGCAAATAAGTTTCTTTCAACCAATTTGGAACGATTTCTAAGACGGATTAACTCTCCGCTTACACGTTAATAGCGCGAAATATATCGCGCGTTAATTTTCCCAAATTGGCCAAAATGGCAATCTTTAAACCTCCGTAACTTTACGAAAAATGATCACAGGTGAAATATCTTTTCAAATTTAAGCTCAGGACAACAATACCTTTCGAATGATATAAAAAAAAATTCCGTCAAAAATGGCTAGTTAAAAAGTCGAAATTTGTCTGAAGAAAAAAAACCCACCCCGAGCACAAGTATTCCGTTACTTTAGTATCGAAAGTCGGAACAATGAATATTGAAAGAAAATTTTAATGCCGTCATTAAACGTTAAGAGCATTTGATGAAAATTTATGATTCATTTTCCTCTTTGTGCGAACAGTTTTGTGATTTTATAAAACATATAATTAATGCAGGGAAACATTTTTTTTTGTATTTTTGTGAATATGAATTTAATTTAATTTTTTTGTCTGTATACAAACATCTCAAAAACAAAAACGTCCTCGACGTAAAGCTCCGTCTTGTCTTGCTCAGTTTGAAACGTGGATGTATGGCTAATTAATCGTTAAATAGCTCCATAAAAATAGTCAATACAGTATATAAAATAGGTTTTTGCAAATTTGTATGGTCTGTCATCAATATGTCTCAGACAGTTTCACCATCAAAAATTGCTGGATAAAAAGTGAAGGTCAACTCAAAAGCAAAGTTATGTCTGAAAGTTCTTTATTTTTGAGGTGAGCTAGTCAATTCATATAATGATCTAAATGATGCAAACCCTAATCGATCAAGATCTTGCAAGATTCTTTAGAAGAAGATGCATCTCTCTTTAAAAGATTTTGCAAGATAACATCCCTTGATCGAAATCTACGAATTGTTATTTGAAATTAAGTTTGGGGGAAAATCGTCAAAAACATTTTCCAATTTTTAGACCAAATTGAACGAAATTTGGTGAAGCCTTGAACTCAATTATGATGATACTCATTTCAATTCTACTGCAATTTTTGATTGATTCTAGATAGTTATTTCTCGTAATTCAGTTTCAATTTAATTTAATTTTCTTTTTTTTATCAAAAAAAGGAAAGAGTTTGAGAAAGAAAAAACGTTTCTATTATTTGGATTTTTTAGATTTTTTTGTTTTCCGGTCATTTTTGAGCCTCCTGATATTTGGTGGTCATAATTTTCTGTGATAATTGCACAGCTAATGGCTACTTTTAACTACTTTACTTTTTGACTTTTCTAAGTGCTTCATTCTTTCCTGTTACTATTTCCTTGGTAAAGAGAGAAAAAGGAAAAGGAAAATAAAAATGACGCCTACGCATTCGCAGATCTTTTTAGGTTTATACATGACATAACCTGGTTAAAAATTAACGATTAGGGTCAGCCTTAACTTGGAATTGTTAGTTGGTTAGATTTAGTTAAGACCATTTATCCATGAACCGCATAATTTGATTTAGAGGTGCAATTAAGTCTGAAGTTTAATCTTCTTTAATCGCAAATTTTATGCCAGTGACCCAAAATTCACGACTTCAATTAAGGCAAGTAATAAAAATTTTACGAAGCAAATTATTTATTATATACCATATTTTAACATCAAACATGAACGTGAAATTCACTCTTTTTCTGTGGCATATAAAAGCTTCTTTTTTGGCATCAAAATAAATATATAATTTGACTAGAAATGACAAAAAGTTCAACATAATTAATAATTAGGTTATTTTCATTAAGCGCTAGTTTCTTTCATTTCGATATGCTCCTCGATTTTATCAGGGTTATCTTTTCCGTTGTTTCGCTCAACTGCCTTGGCATTATTGCACAAATCATTGTTCGTCGTACGTGCCGAAGCATTTCGGGTCGCTCTCACCGACGAAGTATAGCCGTTTGTTTGTTGTCGCAGCTGTGCCGAGTACCTAGCGAGTCGCGGGCAGGCTTTATTGACGAATTTCAGGAAACATTTCCAGAAAAGTGGGTTTCTGTAGAAATAGGTGTAGGGGGCGAACAAAATCAACAAAGAGAGCATTATAGAAGTCGTAATTGAAACTAGAAAATCGTTTCTTGCTCGGTTTTTCTGGCATCCGATGTATAAACAAAAACCGTAATAGAAGTTGCGTGCAATTATAAAAAAAATTGTTCCGGTGATGAGCGCTACAAACCCGTAAAGCAGACGCAGTTCTTTCTTGTAAGCCTCTTGTTCGTTTTCAGTGTCCGTATTTCCGGTTAAACTCTCTCGTTCCAGTTTCGGCGCCGGAGCCGAAACGGATGACGTAATTTTGATGCCTCGTGCTCGTTTGAGGGCTTCTTGGAATACGTAGAAGTAGAGAAACACTACTACTATGAAAGCGGAAATGTAGAGAGCGAAGTTGATGATGATGTTGATTATTTCGGGAGTTATGCTCGTGGGGGGGTTTTTGTAGTTGTAAACGTCGTGGAAAAACGACTCGTAGAAACACATCGTGACTGTCTGGAAAATGACGTCACATACAGTCAGTCCGATCCAAATGAAGCCAAAAGCAGCTGAAACAAAAGTAAAATATATTTTTTTGGAATCATATGTTACTAAACCCAATAGCAAGTGATGAATCAGTAACATGGTACAAAAATTGGATCTCTTTAACTATATCCCCCCTTTTGCGAAATGGGGGAGATTCGTAACTAAGTATAAAATTCTCATGTGCTTAACTGTTGGTTTATTTCTTTATAGGGGTGATATTTGTTACTAGGTACTCGAGGGGGGATATAGTCAAAGAGATCCCAAAATTTATATACGCTAACCCGTTGAGTTATTCCTTTGTAGGGGGGAGGGGTTATTTAGCAGGTACTATGGATGGTTTTTAATAAAGGCTGAAAATGATTTCAAATTAATCAATCTCCGCTTGGCAGACCTAGATTATGAAAACTGATTGTTTAGAGAAGACTGAAAAAACCCGCTAGCGAAACAGATTCTTCCGTTCTTCGGTACATTTCTGCTTATGATAAAATTGACAGATTTGGTTCAAAATTTGACACATTTTTATTGCGTGCTAGGCAATCAGGAGACGATGTTCGGTGCGAGAAAAAACGCCTCAAAGAGTTTTGCAATCGGGCAAAAACGGCAATTAAATTTGTGGCAACCCCCACTCTGCTCACGCTACTGAGGGTAATTATAACATACCATGATTCTGCTGATTTAGCTATTTGGGGGGGGGGGGGGGGGGGGTGAGGGAGATTTTTTTAAGCTCTCAATTGACTAACTGCATCAAAATCAATATATGGTCCCCAGCACTTTCAATTTGAGGTGTCCATTGAACATTTGATTTCATGTCAAATTCAATAACAGTCTGCAAGCTGAATATTTAATCAGAATTAGACTTGGTGAATTTGGATCGGTGTGGCTATATTTACCATTTGAAAGACGGTCAGCAAGCATACCAATTAGTTGCATTTATTACAACTTTTGGATCAACCGTAAACCCCCCCCCCCCCTCCCCCTAACCCCCACCATCGATTTAAGGTGACGTCAGTACGGACTTCTCAAAACTTCAAAGATAAAATAAAATTATCTAACTAACATGTCAGATCAAACTATCAAAATATAGTTGAAATTGAAAAATCCGTTTATTTGAATTTTTTGCCCAATAATATTAACTGTTTAGAATTAACTTTCAAGTTTAAATCCTTGCGACAAGACGCTATATGGTAGATCCCAGTTTTCAACCATTCTTTCTTTCTAGTATCGCCAAAAGAATTTCGAGCCAAAATAAACTCGACGAAAAAGTACCGCGTGACATTAAATAAGCTCAAAACAAATTCCAATCAAGTGAATAACGTTTAAAAAACAGCACTCTCTCTTTTTAGTGCGCAAAAAAAACGGTGAAGAAAAAAGCGAAAAAAAAAATTATATATATATTTTTTCAGATGGGCAGGGGCGGATCTAGGATTTTCTCGAGGGGGGGGTGCGGATTTTCAAAAATTTTCAAAAAATTGATTTTTCGAGCTCTCCCAATCCGAAAGCACTGTTTTTCCCCTATTTTGGGCAAAAATTTAACCCCCGCAGGCAAATTTTTGAAAAAACAGTCAAAAAAGCCGTTTTTGGGCACTTTTTGAAAAATGTTGACAAAACAATCGCGTTTTTTTGGCGCGCGCTCCCCCTCAAAGTTAGTATATATTGGCGCCAAAGGCGCCTTTAGAAAAATTTTAGGGTCGGTGTCGGTCGGCCAAAAATGGATTTCTTAAAAAGTATCCAAGGGGGGACCATTTGGGTCGGCAGGGGTGGAATCCCTGGGTCTGCAGATGGGTTTTTCTGAAAAATGGCTCTAAAAACAGCGCAGACTATCTGATTCTATATGCAACTATGTTTTCTAATCATTATCATCTATTTTAAGCATTTCCCAATTCTTCCACATTTTTCTAATGGCTGAGACAAATGGTAAGAAGATACGGCGCCATTCAGTAATTAATGAGCTAATAATGGACCAATTAGCTTAACATATTGAATGTCTGCTGCCCGCAGGAGGAGTAAGCTTGTACAAAAACTTAAAGACGGGACAAAAGCCTTTATTGAACAATCTAAATGCAACTCGGGAAAACGAAAAACCTGCAACTTTAAATATAATGAGCATTTAGAAAAACAATCATAAAGCTTTACGGATCAAGTTAACATTGAAAATTGGAAAAAGGGACCTCTTAAACAATTTCCCCCCTTGCAAAAGGGGGAGATTCTTTACTTGTTACCCTTAGGTGGATTTAGTTAAAGAGATCCGGAAAAGTTACAAAAAATTGGAATTCATAGGTTAATCCGAAATAAAGTGCTCCCCGCACCGCTCGACTAACATAAAAACGGACTAGCTTAAAAAAGATTGTTTCTCATTAATACAAAAAAGACCCCCGCACCCAAGCAAACAGTTTATCATTAGAAACCGAAAGTTGTTGCAAAAATGTCCAAATAAACCCACTAAATCTGAAATTTTTGTAATTCTATATGGGTGGCCAGTCAATAAGCAGAATGGTCTAAGAGCAGAATGGGTCCAAGAGCAGAAAAACAGAAAAATATCAAATTTTACAAGCTTATGGGTAAGTTAAGTATAAGAATTGTCAATATTACCAAAGAAGCAATAGTTTATGCATAATTTGAATAATTTAATCGAGATTTTTTAAATAAAATTCAGTTTACAAAAACTTGATCAAATTATTCAATTCATGCATAGTTTATTCATTTTCTTGGTATTATTGACAATTATGTCTTTCTATTACAAAGACTGCGCACAGACAGTGGTTTTAAAGTTTCTCATAAACCAAATACCTGGGGAGCTAATTAAAATGGAGTTTCAATTTGGTGGATTGAAAAAAAATCTTTTTGTGGGGGAGGGAGGGGAGAGGGGGTTTGCTAGATAGTTCGGCCCCTCAGTAAAAAGGTGGCATTGATGACGTTGGGCTAACGGGCTAACTATCACTAGACTGATATTCACCCAATTAGCAACTGCTCTTTTTTCACTGATGGTCTTCAGCTAAATTTCATGGGAATTGGGGAGGAAAATCATTTTGGATTGACATTTGTTATTAACAATTAGAGTCATTGGGTTTTACTCATTCATTTCCTTAAATAGCATAATTTTTAGTGTATTGTTTTTTTGTTTCCCAGTTTTGACTTTTTGAATTGACAATTATACTCATTGCTTCCTAAAATGGCAATCTTGCCAAGTTGGTAGAAAAACGGGGTCTTTTCGGTTATACCCCCGCTAAAGGATGAAAAAGTGAAATGAAATGTTCACAATATAATTGGGACACTGTTACTAGAAAATGCGCGATATTTTTTGGGACTAGCAAGAAACAAAACTTTTTTTTACATTTTTTGAGTTTTTTCTCCAAATTTTGTCAGTTTTCTGCGCCTAAATTTCATTGGAAGGATGCCAAATGCGGTTTTAATTGTCGTTAAGTTCGTAATGATTGCAAACTTTTAGCTTGACTTAATGCTCGGGATATCAGCAGCCCTGAATTTTTATTTTAAATAAAACAAGACTGCTCGTATCAGGGTGAAGCCCTGAATGTTCCGACTGCCTTTTAAGGTTTATGGAGCAGCAGTAATAACATAGAAAAATTAAATGAAATAAAATGAAATGAAAATTTTTTTTCTGAAAATTGAAATTTTTTATGAAAATCATCCCCCCACACGCCATATAAAATACAAAAAGATAGATTTCGTTCCTTGTAACAAATAGATTATGGCGAATACGCTTCGTTCAACCAATTTGGAACGATATATAAGACGGATTAAATCTCCGCTTACGCGTTAATAGCGCGAAATATATCGCGCGTTAATTGTCCCAAATTGGTCAAAATGGCCAAAATGGCAATCTTTAGACCCTCATAACTTTACGAAAAATGATCACAGGTGAAATATCTTTTCAAATTTAAGCTCAGGAAAACAATACCTTTTGAATGATATAAAAAAATTCCGTCAAAAATGGCTAGTTTAAAAGTCGAAATTTGTCTGAAGAAAAAAAAAAACCCACCCCGAGCGCAAATATTCCGTTACTTTCGTAACGAAAGTCGGAACAATTATTCAAACTTTTTCAGAAAATTTTCCATTTTCTTTTTTTTATTTTCCGGTGCGCTCGTCTGTTAATATGACAAGTCACATGCTGTTTTAAACCGTGTTGCATGAATTTCTCCAGTGAGTTTTCAGCCAACTTAAAAATGAGACAATTCAACTGAAATGGAATTTACAACATTTCAGCCAAACATCGAATGAACACCACTTATAGTTTATCCACTTATAATTAGTACCAATTGAAAGAGTAAGCGGCAAAAAATGATTCACATGCACTAGATTTTGCGTGCAGATTGTAAGCGCAGAAAAGCAAGACCTTGCTAATTGCGAATTGCTCTCTTCCTGGCCATACCGCGTTGGAAAAAAAATATATTTTTGATTTCGCTCAGAGTGTTTTTTTCTCCAGTCAAATTTATACAGACTTTTTAATTTGCCATTTTGATGGGATTTTCCATATCATCAGTAAATTATTCTCATTAGCTCAAGATATAAGTTTCGTCTCAAGCTGAAAATTAAAAAGAGTCAATTTGCAATTAGAATTGGATACTTAAGGCTCGGTGTATTTTGTCCTGATATAGTGTAAGCGGCATAAAAAAAACTTCTAAATTGAAATGAGGCCAGTAATTTACTTTTATTGAAAACTATTAAACCCAAAGCATACCACTTTGTATTATTTGCTTTAGAATGCGAGCGGGTAAAATTCAGAGAAATACGAAAAAAATATACTCTAACATTTAAATCAATTCTTCAGAACAAACCATTTCATCTACAGTACAATGCTGCAAAACTTTCAAGGCGTCGTCTTGATACGAGCAGTGCTGTTGTTCTGACTTTCTCGGGAATTTGTTTTTCCAACAGTTTTGGTTTTTTAACTAGCCAATTTTGACGGATCTTTTTTATATAATCCAAAAAGTGTTGTCGTGTGCTCAAATTAAAATAAGTGTATTTTAATTGTGATTGTTTTCCATAAAGTTATCGGGTTTAAAGA